TGACGACCTCTGATGATCCTCTCGAAGGCTTCTAAGGGCCCTCACAACAACTTCTGAGGACCCAAGGATGGTCCCTGAGGGGCTGAGGGCCCTGGCGACGACCTCTCTGGGCCCTCACAATGGTCTCTAAGACCCAACGCAAGCTCCAAAGGCCCACGCTGGCGTCTGAGGGTTCCACGACAGCCTCTGAGGGCCTCGACGCAGGCAGGCTCCAGGGGCCATGCTGACCTCTGAGGGCCCTCTTGACGGCTTCTAGGGCCTGACGAAGGCTTCAAGGGCCAACACTGGCCTCTGAAGAACCCTACGATGGCCTCGGAGGGTCTCACCTCAACGCAGGCAGGTGCCAGGAGACATGCTGGCCTCCGAGGGCCCCGCAGAGTTCAGATTCAGAGGACCCAACGACCTTTGTGGACCTTACGAAATAAGAAGGTCTCCGGACTCCGAGAGCTCACGCAGGCTCCTCGAATTCCACACTGATTCTCAGGCCCCATGCCGGCTTGTTGCGGCACTTAATCTGCTCTTGGTGCCCCGTCGCTGGCCTCTGAGTCTCTCAATGTCGGAACTTATGGGGCCATGGGCCCTACACCGGCTTTTATGGCACCTACAGCGACTCTTGGGGACTCATGACCCATGAAATGTGGGACTAAGCGGCTTCTAAGTCCTAAGAATCCCCATGCTGGTTCTAGTAGCCACCAGCCGAATATTTGGGCTCACACGCGAGCTCTTGGGACCCCGTGCATATCCCAGGGGTCTACCTGCCTCTAAGACCCCACACATACTTTTGGGGCTCAAACGCTTGCCTCTGAAGGCCCCCCCCCCCCACTGAGACCCCTTTCCTCTATTCAGTCCTCCATACCGGCTCCTTAGGCTAAACATCGGCTCCTGTGGCCTCCATCCCGGCTTTGGAGGGCCTCCATACAGGCTTTTTTTGGGGTCCGATGCCGGTTTCTGAGAGCCCTCAAAAGACTTTCGAGCCTATACTGCCTTCTGAAACCTTTCAGCAACTTTCAAGGGACCGACCCTGATCGGAGGGCTCATTCAGTCTGGGGAGTCATGTAGGTCTCTGGAGGAGTCTCTATGTGGTCGGTTTCCAAGGGGCTTCTAAACACGGTCTTCTTGGAACGGTCTCGTAGGGCCCTCAATGGTCCACTGCGGATCCAGAAAAGTGGTTTGAGACGCTGCGGGTGGTGGCTAGACTAAAAAATTAGCCGATAAAAAACTAGCTGCATTTGCTTCTTTATGCTTTCATTATTTGAGATAGGTATGTATAGTCTCTCTTGAAAGTATCGCGTCCTGGGATGCGGCGGCTCAGCGAACTATTCCATCCAATTTGAGGACCCCAGTAGGTAGGTCATGGCCTGTATCATAAAAAGTACGCTGTAACACGATTTCACGCCAGCGGTAGAAGGAAAACTGCTATATGACGCAGGCCCCAGCGGCTGACAACTGGGTCAAAACAGTCGGAGGCCGGCCAAAGGTCATGCTCGTATCGCTCTCTTTTGACCCCGTCCACCGCTCCAGGCGGATACCGGTGCCTCTTGGGCTCACCAGCCGGGCGCTCATTGGTGTGCCTTACTGGGCGCCAATCACTCAGTGTGCGTGACGCGTAAAATCACAACGAAGCGAAGTTCCGTCATAACCCTAAATGTGATGAAGCCTTCTGAATGACGTAAACAGGTCATGCGGGGGGAGGGAAGCCTGGCATCAAATAAGTTTTAAAAAGAACATGGCTGAACAGCATTTCTTTTCTTTTTTTGTCGCCGTTCACTAACCGGCTCACTAAAAAGAGAGAACTTCAAATACAGGACTAAATGGCTAGACAGCGAATTGGCGAACTGGCTAGAGAGATAATTCTTGTTTTTGAAACCGCTTACGAGTGCATGTGCAAGCACGGATGCATTCTGTTAGCGGGTGCAACTGATGATTTTTTGGGTCCGGATTTTACCCCCTCACAAAAAAATGTGACAGTCGTGCCGATGACGAGTCAAATTGCTAACTTTGCAATGAAACAAATCTCAACAAATCCTCTGCAAGTAGGGTGGCTTCCGTTGACCATATGCTTAGCTGCCACCACAAGTTACCGGATGGCGACTGCCACCTCCCCCTATCCCTCCGCAATCCGCAACCACTCCCCTCGCCCCGCCGCGCCGGCTGCCTCCGCGTGTTAGACTCGGTCAGTGCTACCAGCGGCTCTCAAACCTTTCCGCTCAACCGCGGCTGGGACAGGTGGCGCCTTCCCTCAGAGTCGCGATACTTTCAAGAGAGACTATACAGTCCACAGCAGAAGTAATGTGTGGTTTCAGTCATGGGTATGTTCTGCTTCTGAAGCCTAGGAACGATTAGCCAGACTGCAACGAGACTTTAAATGTAGCTTACATGTATCTTCACCCTTGCAGCTACAGCTTTATCTATCGACGTCTTCTTTTCAATCAGTCCGCATTTAAAAATCGTCGGTCAAAGCCATCCGTTGAGATTGGTAAAACCACACATTACTTTAGCGGTGGGCTGTACACTGCAATTTAAAACCTTTTACAGAACTTGTGTGTATGGGGATAGTTTTTCAAAATCTTCGTTTTTCATAAATCAATAATAATCACCCAAAAAAAAAGAAGGGGGGGGGGCCCAAAACTTCCAGAGGGGCCCCTTGAGAAAACTTTGCACCCCCATCCAAAATTACCTTCCGCCGCCACTGTTGAAAAATTCCCAGATATACAAGTTGTGAGACCTCTGGAGGACACCATGTATGCGTCCTGTAACTTTCATCTCGGACAGCTATGGTCATTGGCGTCCAAAACAATGTCAGAACCAAACAGCCTTTTTCACCCTCGCGCTTATAGGAAAGAGGGTTGAATGAACCCTCCTTTCACTTTTTTTCAGATGACTCAGACTTGAATTGAAATTTCAGTAACCCGTGATGTCACTAGGCAGCTTTACCACGCCATTTGTAAGCTCCCCTCCCGAAATCACTATTCGAAACCGTTATCGTGACGTAAAATAAATACATTTATAGAAAGAACACCTTCCTAATTTTTTGCATACTTCTTAACAATGAGCCAAATATTTTTTTAAAGAAATAAAAATTCAAAAAAATTTGGTCCCAAAGTCCAAAAAAAAATACAAATGAAAGAAAACTCGATATGTCATAGGTATATCAAAAATAGCGTATTTATCGAAATTTCAAAAATACATATTAATCTCTGTTTCATTGCAAGTTCAATGTTATATAACATTTGGCATTTGAATAATCCGTCTTAAGAGTTACAGCCCGCCAAACTTAGCGCTGCAAAGCAAGATCCAAAAAATGTTATACACCATAACTCAAAAAATACTTATCTGATAAGCCTGAAATTGTTACAGGTGGATTCAGAGCCCCTGATTACCCCTGAGACCAATTCTCGTCAAATTCCGAGAGATGAGGGTGTCAAATTGGAAAAAAAAGTGGTACGATCTATCGTGGAATGCCCCACCTGTATTGTTCGCGGACCGAACTGGGCCGAGCCGTGGATGGGTCATCGGTCGGCGGGGGGGGGGGGTCCCACGCCCGTGACACGCGTCCCCACCCAATGTAAGCGGAGCGGCGTCGGTCGGCAGTGAAGCGGCACCGCGTCTGAATGCGATCCCGGCGCGTGCCGCCCCAAAACCGGAACAGCGGCTCTAATTGCCGTCCTGCCGCGGGCGGCGGCGCCGTCCGGAAGCGGCGTCAAACGGGCCGGGCGGGGAGGCGCGGGGCGCGGCCGGCGGCGTCCCGGCCCGGCCCGGCTCTGACCCGGCCGGGCCGGCCGGGCCGAGGGTCCCCACTGCTCCGCCTCCACCTGTGGACTCGGCCCCACCCCGCGACAGCACTGATCCGACGTGTCCGGGAAACCGCCCACGGCCAGCTGCCGGTGTTTGAGGGATGCGTATGGACCAACTCTGAGGATGGAAATCGAGCGTGAATATTCAACACGAGAGGTCGATGTCCGATCGAAGTGAGTGACCGGATCAAATTGGGGACACTGTGCTGGAGTGCCTAATTACGGGACAATCAAAATGGTAGTGGAGTCGCCGTGGAATAAGGACGTTACTTCCGTATAGTAACGCTGGATGCACTGAGCGGGGTTTACGATATTAAACTTATAAAGGACGTCCGTTAAACCCGAAAATGAGATGATTTGTAACAGCTCTTAGTAATGGCCTTTCCCCAATCGATGTAGCGTAAAACTGAACCGTTTTGTGGCCACTTTATCAGCCATAATGTGCCCGTTTACCGGACTCTGATGTGCCCGTTAACCTGCCGCAAGGTGTCATGTTTACTGGCTGCGATATAAATTGTTTTTGTGCGTCCATTTAATCGGTCGAAGTACAATGTTCGTGTTAGTAGTGCTAGGTAAGTAGCACTTTGTCAGTGCTATTGTCTTTACCGAGCCCATTTGATCGGTCGTGCCCGTTTAATCTTACATATTGGTGGTATTTGGGCAAATGTAGTCCTAAGAATGAATCCTCTGGTTATCTAGTGCGTTCTCTCGCTATCTGTAACCGTCCGCTTCCAAAGTTTTTCCTCAAACTGGAAATTGGCTCCTTTTGAAAGCAGGATCGCACTCACTCACACTGTCCGTTGTCAGCGCACTGTCAGCTCATCGTTTCACCGACCCCTGAACTCTGAAGCACGACTCACCCCACCGTATCATGTCGCGATATCAAAAGCTGTTCGTTTCTTGACACGCTTTCTTTTCCTTTCCTTTTTCAGTATGTGGCAGCGTATCGACTTCATGGGAACCCTGCTGTGCCCGGGTCTCTGACCTATCGTGGAGTCCGTGGAGAACCTCATCTCCTCCGAATTCCCCGTGGAAAATCTCGCACAACGCCCGGCCCGGCGGGGCGCCGGGTGTGCGGAAATTCCGCGTCCTTCCGCGCGGCGTCCGCTGCCGGAGCCGCCCGGTGTGACACGACCTGACGTGTGACGACGTGACGACCCGTGACGGAGCGCGGCGTGACGCCGGCCGCGTGCGCCGCCGCCCGCCAGTCGCGTCATCCGCCGCACGCCGCGCGCACGGCTGTTGGAGAACCGGACAGCCGCCGCGGACGGTCCGCCAACTAACCTGACCGGTCAGCGGTCTCCGAGTGGTGCGGCCGCAGACTGAGCGCGGAGAGCGCGCTGAGAGGAGCGCGCGGGCACAACCCGTCCGTGCCCAGTGTCTGTGAGAGGATCGGCCGGCCGCGCTGACGAGGCCCCGCCGGGACCATGGTGGCCGGCGCGATGGTAGCCGGGACGCTGATGGTCATGAGCGCGATACTGCAGACGGCGGCAGACAGAGGTGAGTGGCCGCCCCCCGGCAGCGTACCGCGGAGGCCGCACTGCACAATGGAGACAGTTATTTCCTCATTCTGATGAGTGAGATAGAGTAGAGTGAGCCCACCATGACACTGCTTCCGAAAGTCGGTATGCATATTGCATGTGTTTGTCACTTTTCTGACCACCTTCGATCAATTCACTGGAATCTTCTCTGCATCGCGATACGGGCATTTCAACAGCCTGGTTTATCTGTTAAAATTTCACGGTAAGTATAAAAAATGATATCAGAAAATTCTAATGATCATATTTTTGTTTTGCATTGATAAGAGCTTTTAGGGTTTTACGTTTTACCAATAAGAATTTACAAAGAACCGCATGCCTTTTTATCTTGACCTTTATTTCCAAATGTTTATTAATGTTTATTTAATACCATCAGTTGTACCAAACATAAAAGCTGTCTACCGAACTCTGTCGTAAGACCTTTCAATCTTACGCTAGAGCATCGATCTTGACTGGGATTTGTAAGTAAAAGTCCGCGGTACAATTATGTATGATGCGCTGGATTATTCCCATATGCGTTCCATTCAAAAACTTTATTTTATTTCTCAGACCAAACCCACTTGTACCCCAACACCACTAATTCATTCGGAGGTCACTTTTTGTCATAGCTATGTCACTGAAACTCCGTTGAACTGCCGAGCTGATAATCCAGCTATATCGCAGTTATCTTCTTGTGTTGCCGAACAGTCTCCGCTGTGGATGAGGATATTTCCAAACAAGGGCTAGCTAGCCTGTGACGGATGGAGAGCCGCTAGCTTATGGATGAGTGGAGTTTTCGATGTCACCAACCGACCGTTCCACAGACGCATGTACAATAAATAAGTCGTCCTGCCATGGGCACCTGGTCCTGTGCCTCCCCATGCCACGATCCCACTAGAGACCAGTGCCTAGTCGTTTCCGCTTCACTTCTCGCGATGCTCCGTTTAGCTGGACCGTAACAAAGTGCCTAGCAGCTGGGCACTTCGGCAATAAACAGTATTCACTCGTGACCGAGTCCCAGACCGCTAGTGGCGGATTCTGCAGCCATATGTTCAACGGATTGTTGTGCATGCTGACTGTGCATACATTGGAGTATATTACGTTATTCTTCTTCATACTTTTCACTTCATACAGTACTTTACGTGACATATCGCTACTTCTGATGTTCTTGCTCTCATTCGTTCCCTTTTCCCTAGTTTCTAATTATGTCTGTCTCTTCTCCTTGTCAGCCTACCACCCATTTATGTTGTTGCATTCAGTTTTGCATGCTTCATTACGGAGCGAGCGAAGCGAGCGGAGTCTTTCCTTAGATTAACGGAAATTTCTGAGTATGAGCGGCCGGCCGCGCGGACGCTTTTGCGAGGCTTATATCTCAGGAACCACTTGACCGGTTTACATACGGTAATTTTTGTAGGGTAGCTTCATTCCTTCTACCAAGTATTGGACTATTCCCGATGCATGTGGGTGACCCCTTATGCACGTGCCACGTGCAAAACGAAGAGGTGTCAGTTTTGTAATAGTTGCAATATCTCGGTAACTACTCGGTCGATTGCGCTGAAAGTTGACATGTACATAGATAGGCACTCACTCGGCACTGCATATCCACGTGCCAGAGTTGGGGTGCTGCTGCACGTGCGCACGTATGTACAGGGGTCGTTTCCAGATCTCGAGAACGGCTCGACTGATTGCGCTCAAATTTGGTACACAGGGACCGGTTAGTAGGGTGCCGTGCAAAAGTCAGTTGGGACCCATTTCGCACGTGCGCACGTGCAGGGTGTCGCTTCCAGATCTCGAGAACGGCTGGGCCGATTGTGCTCAAATTTGGCACATCGCTAGAGACCGGTTAGTAGGGTGCCGTGCACAAGTCAATTGGAGGTATACCCTCGCAATTTCGCACGTGCAAGGCCCACCCTCTCGCTCGCTCCGTTAGTCGCCCCAAAAGGCGTTATACTGGTTGTAATGCGTTTCTTTGCATCATGGGTCAGGCGATGAAGAATGAATGCAATGCATGAAATGTCCAACACATCAATTATTACTAGTAGTTCGGGTTTCTCTGACTTTCGAGACTAAGCTTAGGTACATATCCCCAAATGGAGACATGGATATTAACAAAAATAATTTTTGTCCCATCTTAAAATATCGGCACAACGGACAAACAAGTTGCCAAGTTTCTTTCAGCTAGGCTTCCGTCTTGCCCGCACTGGTTGCCATCACCGGACAGCCATTTGTTCGGTTGGACCTTTCCTCGCTATAGCTTACAAGGTAAACAAAGTCACCATGACATCACTCTTTTTCTAATTGTGCTAGAATGTTGGCGTCAACATTAATCCTTCGGGATGTTTCTAACCGGACCACTGATATTTCTATATCGGTAAAGGCAAGGCGCGAGTGACGCCCTCGATCAGCCATCTCGTAGTCGTTCCTGCGGCGCTGCCGATCGTCCGCCGCCAGTCGCCGACCCCTCCCGTGTGTCCGGAGAGCCGTCCTTGGCTGCATCAGCCAGAGAGCGGGCGTGACGGCGGTCCGTGCGAGTGTCGCGTCACGCCCGTCACCGGGCCGGCCGCCGCAGCTCGCCGTGACGCAGCGACGGCCACGAGTCAATTGAGCTCCCGGCCGCAGCGGCCAGTCACAATATCCGGCACGTGCTGTCTGATGATGACTTGTCCATTCGGAAACGCGCCAAGGACCCCGGGTCGGCTTTCAGTGGTTTTGTGGACTGGCTGGAAACGTCAACAACTGGGCAATGACACGTCCGAGTGAATAAAAGGCCGAGTGGCCTTTGCGGGGAGACGTGGTGCGTGAACGGAGCAGTAAAAGGATATTGGGCAGGACTGAGAGTCGCCCAATCACGTGCCATAAACCTTGCGACGAAGGACAATGAGGGAGCAGCTCAGATTGTTCTGGAATTGTGGGTGGTGGAGGCAGCGACCCGAAGACAACTTCCGGCCGCTGTGGAATGCGTGGCAGAATTGAAAACAATTATCCGCCATTTAAAATGCTAAGGAATACTGAGGCCTTGGCCCTTCTACCTTTTTACTTTGGACGGGCTCATTATTCCTGAATTGTACTGATTATTTTTACGTCTAAATTGAAAGCATTTCTCCATTGCACACGAATGTAGCTATCATAGATGCTATCGTTTCTCATTCCCATCCGGGTTCGTGGCCATTTGCCGTATCATCTCCCTGCTGCAGGCATGGTCCGGTCCCCAAGTTTGTAGCTTGCTCCGAAGTACCGCAGTGTCGGCGGTTCTGCCACGATACTGCAGCGCAGGCTGTGCCCGTTCGCTCTCCGACTGAGCGGAGACGGCAGGCAGCGTCGCTGGTGGTGTCGGTGCCGGCGGAAACAGCAGCGAACGGGCGGTCACGGCTCTGCGAGTTCACGCCGCTGCTCCGTGAGTTCACGGCCGGCGGTGCTCGCGTGAGTTCACGGCCGGTTCCATGTCCAGGCGCCGTGAGGCAGCTGGGCTGGCGAGCCGCGTTCGGGACGGGAGACAGAAGACGGGGAGCCATCCCGACGGAGTGTATCCCGATTCCCCGACGAAATGGAGACAAGGCAACCCGAGCAAAGCGAAGCGGGTGCAAGGGAGTAGAGAAACAAAAGGGAAGCAAGGGAGCAAGAGCGCCCGGAGATTATTGGGCGGATGAAACGCTTTACGCGAGGACTGGGAGAGCCCACTGAAGCTGCCAATTACCATCGGTATTATGGCATTGTGAGCTAAACCTGAAGCTGAATTGGGTGGCAAGAGAAACTGGCAATTAGCCCCAGCATGCTAATTTGCGAATGCATGATACTACGCAGCGCACGTAACCAGCGTCAATTGCCCCACCGTGTGGTCATGTGATACTGCTTTATGACGAGCCGTTTTGGTGTAAAAGTGCCGAGCAAGGGTTGAAGTCCATGACGTTACGACACTTAAAATGCCCACAGAATTACCTGGCAAGATAGTTGAATAGCGCTACTGCGAAACCAAAGTCAAAGCTTTTGGCTTGTACAGAATGCATATTTTCTATGCCTTCAAAGACTTAATTTTTTTCCGGATGTGATTGCTCCAAGGCTTGTTGGCTGGCAATGTCCTTTCCATCTCTTTTACTCTCCCCCCAAAAACCTACATTTGACATTTGTCACTTCTAATAAACTTGTCTTCTTTACTTCCTTTCATTATCGCTGCAGATATGCCGGAAGATGCGTGTTGCCTCGTCCCTCGACTAAACGTTGCATCACGACCTTACAATGGAGATTGTTTTGGGTCCACACACCAAATGTGCCGACGTACGAATGTTATTGTTCAGTGCGCGCCGGTGTCTGCGATTTCGAGGTCCGTGCCGTACCAGGGCATATCACGGTGCCGTAAAATCCGAGCCGACGCGCAGTCCGAATCAAATGGTTTCTCCGGCCGCCGGATGCCTCAGTTCGCTCGGGCTGTCACACCGAGGGTGCCGGCGTCGACGGCACGCGCCCGAGACGCGTCACTTTCACAGCGCGAATTTCGTGGCCGGCCGCTGTAAAATGCCCGTCGCCGCGCTGTGTGGTAGAAGCTGCGCTGTGGTTTCATTGTGCGAGACCGTCTCGCCTTGAAAGGCGGGCCGCGGATGGGTGGCGGCCCTGGCGCCTGAACAAGAAGCGCGTTACGTAGCTACGCAGCACAAAACAGCTTTACGACAGAAAATTGTTCCGTCTGTGTGTGACTGGAAAGCATGACGGCTTCGAACTGACAGCTCCAATTAAAATACGATCACAATAAAACTGGTCGTGTAACAATGTCTGCATCACTATCACTCGAACTGTATCATGCTCTCAACAACATCTTGCTCACTGCTCAGTTGCGACGATCTGCTGCTTGGTTCAAAGCACCATGATAATTGATAGACATTAGAGATAGCCTACAAATTTTCAACTTGTGCTTTACTGCAAGTCTATTTAACTTTTTTACCACGAAGTTCACGGCGTACGCTCCAAATAGACCGTATCACTGCTATCGTCAGAACTCAGGGCGGCTCGTAGCGCGGCGGTGGAGAGTTTTGGGCGGCGGAGAGCTCAGCATTGGTGAGCTCACCGCCGGATCGGAGCGGATGGTTTTAGCTGCTGCACCGCCAGTCTGCTGTGATCATCACAACTGGCTAAGGATATGCCGTGAGTCGGAGTGTACGGTTACAGCGTCAACTGGCAGCGGTTATACATATTTCTGTAGGAAGGATGTGCTTAAGTTTTATAGCTAAGGAAGTCACTTCCTTTCCCTTACGCCGATAAGAGCAAATGTATTGCTCCAGCGGCAGCGTCTTTGCCCAGTGTCAGTGGTTGCTGCCCCTCGGCCATTGCCCAGCTTTCATTTGTCATTACTGCGGTTTTAGGCCACGCATACCAGCTGCATTCCCCCTGGGTATCGTCTACAGCGGACCAGAGCAGCCCTCCTGTCGCTCGGGGCAGCCGTCGTCCCCATAGCGTCCCACCGAGGCTGAGCAGTTCCAGGGCGGGCGCTGGGCTCTCGCAGGGGCGCAGGTGCCACCCTCACAGCTCGTTCGGCTTCATGGCTCACCCTGTCACCCTACTCGCCCTCAGTGGCCGCCTCGGGGCGCCTGTCACCCTGCTGAGTGCCCACCCTGCGTCGCCCCACTCGGGAGTAATACCGCACGCAGTCAGTTTCCCCGCAATCAGTCCAATTACAGCGTCACGCCTATGTGTGAGCCCGGCGAGCGGTCCGTAACACCGTGTCGGTGGCGACACCGCGCCGGCACGCGCCACGCGCGCGCGTCGGTCAGCTGACGTCACACAGGAGTGACGTGCGTCATCAGTCATCAGCGACAACAGAGTGGGCGCCGTCACTGCAGTGGGCTCGTAACAGGGACGGCGGATTGATTTATTGAGATTCGGCTAGTTGGAGTGAATGGATCGACTTTCTGTGATGACAGGACGAGAAACGGACACGCAGGGCGAATCGGCCTCAAACCGTGTCGGAATATCAAAATAGAACCTACATCGCTGACCCATTGAACTACAAAATAACTCAACCGACACACCACTGCCAAAGCTTGCTTTCGACTTGTTCTTGTCCCACTTCCTTTTCGAGAGTGCAACCCTGTCTTCTGCAACACAATAGGCCGCTACATCTAGGCTAGAGCGTTACTGCCGACTCCTGGTATCGAGCGACCCTGTCACTGATCTCCCTTATTTTCCCAGCCACCTTTTTACTTCTCGTACCCATTTTTGCTTTCCCAGATTGTGACCATTCGCTTACTTCTGGTTTCTCTACCTCCCCGTCACTAACCGTCTCCCCTGCCGCCCGCAGACTGTTACCGTCCGCTGGCGTCCGGCCGGCGGCTGGGAGTCCAGTTTATCTCGCGGCGTTACAGTGAGACCACGCTGGACGAGTGTGCCGACAAGTGTCTGAGGTCGGAGACGACCTGCCGCGCCTTCAGCTACCGACAGTGAGTATGGACGGAGCGTGGAGTGTGAGGTGTGAGGTAGGGAGTTTAGAGTGAAACAGGGAGTAATCCGACTCCCGAGACCGGTATTGTGCGGAGCAGTCCCAGATAAGACCAGAAGTGTCCTGACTTCTGAGTTCTGTGTTTCGGTCTAATAAGCGTCCAGCTCCGTCTTAGGCCATCTTTTATTTGCAGTGCTTTGCATATCTTGTAGCCAGGAGTCATCCTGCGATCTGTATGGATTTACCACGCTATACCTACGTTGTGCCTTGACCTGTGGCTCTACTGCTCTGACCTGCGCCTCTGCCCTGTCCCGCTCCAGGCCGGACACGGTGGTGAACGGCGTGTCCGTGGACCTAAACTGCGAGCTGACCACCACCCCCGTGAACGGCATCGAGCGGATGCTGACGGTGGACGCCGACTATCAGACGTTCGAGCCGGTACAGAGCGCCGCCTGCCGCACCACGCTGCCCGGCAGCTCCGGCAACTCGGCCGTCGAGAGCAGGGGTGGGTGACGGGTGGCAATGGGGGGGAAGGTATGGGCTGTAAGAGTAACATGAAGGAATACGAAGCAATTATTGGTTACCTGATATTCGAAATCAAGCGCTTAGAGTGGAGAAAACGAGTCGGTTGTTGGAAATTAATCGCGATATTTTGTTTCTAATGTGCAAATATGCAGCATATAATGAGCAGCTCCATACATTATTGCTACCCTCACAAACTTTGTTGCAGTTAAAGTTTACACTGTCAACCTGACAGTGAAAGCTTTCCAGATCCTGCATCGTTCAAGTGTTCTTGCCGTCCCAGATTTATTCTCGTGAGAGACCGGCAACTCTCTTGGAAGCGCCGACACAATTATCGAACCGGTCTGGCCTGTTCCACGGACGGACCAGCCGCCGTTCATTTTTAATGTCCATTGCCACGTGGTTCTTCTGTACTGTCATTGGCTGACCAGTGACCAGTTGGTACACTCGGGGGCAGATTGATGTTCCACAACTCTTTATCCACCGGGTTCCTATGGCTCAGCATTGGCAGCAGCCGCCTGGTACCGGTAGACTGTGCCGCTTCACTTACATGTCAAGCGGCACAGCCTACCCACACCGTATGCCACCGGTCTGGGTCGGTGGCTGGAAGGCGATGTGGGCCGCCTGTGACGTCAGCGCAGCGGTGAGGGCCGAGCCCGGAGGCATGGCTCGGGTCGGCGCGGCGCGGCGACTGGCGAGGACTGGGGAGTGAGGTGGGCTGGGAGCACGGACATCGCGTGGCTGAGCGAGTGTAGTTAACTTTCGCATCTCAAGGCGCCAATTATTCTACCTAACAATTGTGCTAAAGTAGTTGTTAAAATGTCCTATCCCCAAGACAGCGCCTATCATACTTGCAATGCACATTACGACACACTTAAGCGTGGCAATGGGACAGCCGATAGAACTTATGTCACTCGTGCATCGAGGTGCGGAGCTATATTTTGTATAACATATTAGTATTAAGGCCTTGATTGAGCAGATTGGTGTCTATTGTTTCGCACGGCAATCGTCCAGAGACGTGGGAACTTGGGGTTATGAGTAGTGCCGCAGCCAACGCTCCAATTTAAAGCGATTATTACTGTTGCTCTAATATGTGGTCGCAGCCTCCAATAGCAAACCGTTCCAACTAGGAGCCAAAAAGTCGGCCCCTCAGGGGGGTTCGAACCGGGCTTCTCCCACCGGCCAATTCACGACACGAGCGTTCATCCACTGAACTACCGAGAATGGTCCTCGTCCGCACAAAACAAAATTACATTCACCCGCTGACCGCCAATGACAGTATTGTGACATTTGATCGCCTTTGACCGCGGCGGGTGGTCGCTGGTTTCGGCAGCTCGGTGGATACACGCTAGCGTCGTGGGGTGACCGGTTGGAGAAACCCGGTTCGAACCGTCCCAGGTGCGCTACTTATTTGTTCCTAGATGGAACGGTTTGCTATTGGTGGCTGCGACCACACATTAGAGGAACATAAGAGTTGCTTAAAGTTGGGACGCCGCGCTATCCAAAAACCCCAGTTCCCACGTCTCTGGACGATTGCTGTGCGAAATAATAGACACCAATGAGCTCAATCAAGGCCTTAATACATATCTGTTAAAAACAATGTAGCTCCGCAACTCGATGCACGTGTGATATAAATTCTATCGGCTGTCCCAATGTCACGTTTAAGTGTGTCGTAATGTGCATGGCAAGTATGATGATAGGCGCTGTCTTGGGGATAGAACATTTTAACAACTGCTTTAGCACAATTGTTAGGTAGAATAATTGGCGCCTTGAGACGCGAAAGTTAACTACACTCGCTCAGCCGCGCGATGGTCCGTGCTCCCACCCCACCTCACTCCCCAGCCCTCGCCAGCCGCCGCGCCGCGCCGACCCGAGCCATGCCTCCGGGCTCGGCCTTCACCGCTGCGCTGACGTCACAGGCGGCCCACATCGCCTTCCAGCCACCGACCCAGACCGGTGGCATACGGTGTGGGTAGGCTGTGCCGCTTGACATGTAAGTGAAGCGGCACAGTCTACCGGTACCAGGCGGCTGCTGCCAATGCTGAGCCATAGGAACCCGGTGGATAAAGAGTTGTGGAACATCAATCTGCCCCCGAGTGTACCCTTCCCTCCTCGCTAACCAGTGCTGGGGAGTTTAGGGGAGTACCAGTGTTAGCGGGAGGAGGACCATTCCGTTGACCAGTAACCTCTCCCCGCTGGCCAATGCCCCTCCCCCCCCTCCTCCGACAGACTGTTTCCGTCGCGTGATCACCGGCCGGCGCCTGCCCACCGGCTCCGTCCGCTACTCGCTCCGTTCCAGCTCCCTCAGCCGGTGTCAGCAGAGCTGCCTAGACGCAGACTTCTTCTGCACCGTCTTCTCATACAAGTAATGTTCTCGTACTTGACATTCACGAGTCTCCGGCTGAGACCGAATGATTGTGGCTGTTGTGTGGCGTGGGAACGTGCATGATGGGCAGCGTGCAATTCGATCGTGATTGTTCTGATTCTGCCATTTGTTTCCTCCCAACATACCGTTGAAACGTGGGAGATTGGTGTAGGTCTTATATAACTCGGAATCACGATTTCGTGTTACAGCTTTCACGACTTCGATGCTTCGCTGTCATCAATGTGCTGTAATATGAATGGATCCATACACGACGCGTTACAAAGCCCTTTGTAACGCGATCTGTGTCAAATATGCACGAACATTCACTGGTACCCGCTTGCTATCCCATCCCAATCCACCGCAGTCAGGGACGTCCAATTCAAACCCTGACCTGAGGTGACCCCAATCTCTCCTCTTCAGGACGGAGTACGACACGAACGAGATCAACTGCGAGCTCTCCGCTGAGGAGGACTGGGAGACCTCGCTCGAGTCGGCCACACTGTTTGACACTTACGAGCGCGAGAAGACGCCCGAGTGTGGCTACTACGGCGGCTCCGGCTCCGGTGGCTCCGGTGGCTCCGGAGGCAGGGACGGTAAGAACGGGGCTAGGGCGGGCAGGCTGGTGATGAGACGGGGGATGAGGTTTATGCTAGGTCCTGCGGGGCTGGATTTTTTTAAGCTTTTTTGGACTTGTGTGGTCGAAGTAGCCTGTTTGGGGAGCGGAGCCGCTAGAAGAGATACTCTGCTGAACAAGTGTGATGTTGAAAGCATTAGATCGACCCAACAACAACACTTCTGTGCTCAACATCTCTGGCTGTGCTGGCTTTCGACGCACGTGCTCGCAGCAGCCGTCTATTTGGCGCTCCAGATTGCCTCCCATCATCATCAGCCATATCCCAGCCGACAGTGCGGCCTGTGTACTGCGTTATAGAGTGGCGGCGCAAAGTCTGTTTGAAAAGCCCCACTGTATGGAGCTCAGAGCCCCCACTGCCGGTAAGCCGTCGGTATGTGAATACCCCGATAAAGCACGACCTTCATAGCGGGCTGTCCCGCCCCGCCCGGTCCCGTGCGGCTGATACCGGCGGCACCGCGGCACCGGTACGCGCTCCCTCCTCTGTGTCAGCGGGAATCCTGATGATCCCTCCTGGCTTGGCACATCCGCGGCTGCCGCCACATGACGTCACTGTCCGATTTTGTGACGTCATTTTGCCCTTATATGTGACGACTGTGGCTGTCGATATGTCTGACGTCATTTTCCGTGGTTGCCCATTACCTATACGTCACTGTCCGCTGTTGCGATGTGTGCTGGTGCTGTGAGTGTTGTCATTAATCGATATGTGACGTCATTGTAGGATGTGATTTACCTGCTCATCTGTTTTGTTACCTCAGTATCCACTGTTGTGATGCCTCTCCATGTGACGTCACTGCCTCCCCGATTACGTCACCGTATCTCTCATCTGTGACAATACGGCCGCTATAGCACCCGCCCCGCCCGCCCGCCGGTGTTCCTCAGACTGTTTCCTGCTGGCGGAGCGGGGTCGTGCCATCGACGTCCAGGACGTCACCCGTCAGGTGGCCTCCGAGAGCCTCCGCCGGTGTCAGCGGGCCTGCAGCCAGGCGCCGTTCGGCTGCCAGGCTCTCAGCTATAGGTCAGTCAACACGGGATAGGGGTTATTGACTAATTCGGTCGAGGAAATGTCTTGCTAGTTGCTATCCTCCGCGTTCACATCGTGCATTACCGTTTACCAAGGTTTGAGAATGGCGAAGCCTAACATTTCCGCATACAACGGTAACACAATCACGACAGCTCTGCTAGCGTCTCTATTTGTAAATGTCTGTAAATGGAATGCAAACAATGATCATCAATAAGTCAGCTGTCGCCGTACTGCCCACTCGACCGTGCTGACTACTGACCATGCCCTGCTGTGCCAGGCGGGCCGACTACTCTGGTGACCGCAACTGCCAGCTGTCGGGTCGCTCGGGCCGCCTGCACACGGTCCCCCAGAGCGAGTACAGCACCTACCGACGCGGCTACGGACGCGAGTGTGACGATCCGGGCAGCGGCGGAGGCGGGAGCAGTGGCGGATCGTCAGGAATGATTCGTGAGTGGAGGAGGGGACATCGGGTTACATGCTCATTCGCGATAAATTCTTCGGGCCTTATGAATCGTAGCAGTACACGATTTCTTGGACAGACGGATGACAGCCAGGGAAGACCAATGAAGTGTTGTAATGAAATCACATGACCGCTATCATGAACTCTTAAATAATTATCGAAACACATCCCTCCAATTTCTTGTGATATGATTACGGGTTTTCAATAAATTACCTCAATCAGTCCTGACACAATAAGTCGACGATATAGGTGCTTCTTCATTACTTGAGCCCACCAGCCGTTTCTTTTAGCGCCGTTCGTTTGTCTCTGTCAGTTGCCCGGTAGTTACCGTTACCTGTTGTTACCGCCCCCGCTATTTACCGTTCCCGATCGGGTCGGCACGCCTCCAGGCTGTTTCCGACTGAACGCGCCCGACTCGCGACTGCGGATCAGTAATGTGATCAGAAACGTGATGACCACGACCGTGCAGAACTGCGCAGAGGCCTGCAAGATCACCGACGGATGCCGATCATTCAGCTACAGGTAGGTGGGGAGGGGAGTCAACGGGGCGAGGTGGTGGTTTTGGCTTTGTATTACCCGCCTGGGATGTGGCGGATTGGGAGCGGTGTTTACTCGGATAGAATAAATACGTCTTGTGACTGACCTATTAAATTTATTGATGCGTGCACTGTTCATTTTATTCTGCCCGTTTTTACTAATTGCTTCGCACTTCTTCCACTTCTTAATTATTTTATTCATTTATTTTCATGCTTTATCTGTTCATTTTCAAGCCTACCTCTTTTGCCGAGTTCTGTGTGAGCTGCTCTGACCTACCCCGACGTGATCTACCCTGCCCCGACCCACCTCTCCCCCTCAGACGGGACACGGCCGGCGCTCAGCTCAACTGTGAGATGGCCCGCGTGGCGGTACGCTCGGCCGACGACAGAGCGGTGGAGCCCGATCAGCTTTACGACACGTACAGCCGGGAGTACGGAGCCGCCTGCCAGACCGGCGCCGGAGGCGGTACCGGTACCGGTACCGGTACAGGCAGCTCAGGTACGGGACGGTACAGGAACGGCACGGGGGTACTCTTAGGTACACTATCGGGCGACTACGGGAGGGTATGGTGCACTATAGCATACGACGCTTGTCCCCAGTAGAAGAACTTTCAACCTACAGCATGACAAGCTATGTGACCGTATTCAATATAGTGTAATCAATCAGATTTCATGCTGTATTTCATGAAGTATCGCCACCCATTACGGTATCTTTCAACGCTCCATCGTTTAGCAACACCTGCTTTGAGCTTGCAGCACGTCAGCGTGATTTGAATTCTCTCTCAACTCAACACTTGTGCGCCTTTTAAAGCACATCCATGCGCTTAGTAAGCGTTCATTTCCGGCTCCGGCCGGGACGTTCTCGTACAACTTACGAAAACAAACCCTGAAATGGTGAATGCAGCAGGCGCCAGCCTTGTAACAAGATCAAATTATGAGGTGTTGAGTCTCTCCGACTCTCCGGCCCAGCAGTGTGGGGTGCCTTTTCCGGCGCTCCGGCTCAATCCGTATGCGCGGCGGATGGGGCCGTTTCCGTGTGGGCTCTACAGTAACGGTGTCGGGTCTGTGCGGAACACACCGTGACCGCCCCTCTCCTCCCCTCTGCGGGCGGCGCACCGCGGGCACGCGCTGTGACCGCGCCGCCAGCCACTTTCTCAGCTCCGGCCGGCTGCTGCAGTGTGTAGTGTTAGACCGGTGGTAGGCACACGGCACGGTGGCGCCCGAGGCGGCTTTAGGCGTTCCTGGCGCGTGCGGCGGTGACGCCCCGGTCGATACGGACTGACCCACGCGCCGTGACCGCGCGGCAGACCGTGTCGGCGCCGACCGGGGTGTGGGGTGGGTGGAGAGGGGTGTCGGGTACCGGGGTTATTTATCGCAGTCTTAGGGCAGTTTGGGGGGTGGGGGAGGCTACCCATCCCGGTTCAATGCTCCGAGCAAATAGTCCCCAGGCGGTGTCTTCAATCAGTTACTCTCTGGTGACGCTGCGAGCGATATTTTATATCCTTGTTTCCGTTCCGACGGAAGGCCTTTGTCGCGTCCTTGGCGGCGCAGACGGAAAAACTAACCTCGGAATGTCGGCACGAGTGATGGAGACGTCGGCAGCATCGCTCAGACTCGGCGTCACGTCTGGAAGGAGTCGAACAATAGGGGCAGGCGGAAGGCAGTTGAAAGCAATCTGGACTGTTTAGGGAATTAATGAGTTGTTTATCTAAGGCGGGGTGTTTTTATTCAGTTACGGCTTCTGATTTCATTAGTGAGGCTGGGTCACCGACTGATAACGAGCACATAACGAGCCGCAGAGCGCTTTGTTAGGTGTTAATAATAATGCGGGTATTTAACGCCATCTTATCATAGTGCGTTTTGTTTCTGTTATGGATATTAGCACTTGCTGTGTCCGGCGTGCTTTGCACTTTCCCATCGATCGTGAGCTACTGGTGTATCTCGCCGATTGCCGTCTTCAGTTACGATATTCAACCAATCACTCTCAATATTACCATATCTCATCCAGTCACAGACCAGGCACGTCGTAGCCAACCAATCACATCTCCCTCCTCATTACAATATCCGCCCACCGCCGTCACCAGCAGTATCACGTTCGACCAATCACCGTCTCGCACCCCGTCACGCTCGACCAATCATCGTCTCACACCCCGTCACGCTCGACCAATCACAGCCGCTTGTTCTCAGTCTGTCTGCGTACGGCCGTCGGCCACCAACCATTCCTTCCAATCGTGTGTTTTCCTCCTCTCGTCTCTCTCTCTCTCTCACTCTCTCTCTCTCTCTCTCTCTCTCTCTCTCTCTCTCTCTCTCTCTCTCTCTCTCTCTCTCTCTCTCTCTCTCTCTCTCTCTCTCTCTCTCTCTCTCTCTCTCTCTCTCTCTCTCTCTCTCTCTCTCTCACTCACTTCCCCCTCTATCTGTACCTCCCTGACTACATATATATGCCTTCCTCTTCCTCCCCCCTCTCTCTCTCTCTTCATCTGCTTTTCTCTCTTCTCTCTCTCTCTCTCTCTCTCTCTCTCTCTCTCTCTCTCTCTCTCTCTCTCTCTCTCTCTCTCTCTCTCTCTCTCCCTCTCTTTTTTCTCTTTTTCTCATTCTTCCTGCTCGCCCGGCCGGCGGAGAGCGGACATTGTCACTACACTGTCCGATCATCTTCTCTCTACGTCGCTCAGACGAGTCACTGAGCGGAGGGCTGTGAAAGCTCCCGTAACCACCGCGACGGGCCAGCTCCGGCCGCTGAGCCGCCGCTTTGTGCTCGCGTTAAACCGTGCGGACCAGTGTTCGGCTGGCGTGGCGCGGTGCTCAGACAGCCTGGCCGGCGGTCCGGCAACTCACGGTGAATGGCCAGACAACGTCAGTCGCCGGGGGTTTATTAGACGGCCAATCACCGACCCGGGACATGATCGGGGGTTAGGATGTTGTAGGTGCAATGGTTTGGTAAGAGTTTTGTGTTCTACCTACCCAAACAGCGAAGGTTATAGGTGATGATGCAGGGAGCACAAGACTGCGAAACTGATGATGTTGAGTGTGCACTTTGCGCACGATCACAGTAGACCTGATCCGTGCAAGCGGTTTGACGGGCTGTTGGCTCCCCAGTTGCTTGTTCACAAGCTCACCACCAGACTACTGCAGGAGTGAGCTCAGCTGAGGATCCGGTCATAGTTAACACAGCTCATGCCCGGCCTCCGCGTTTCTGGCGGTATTATTTGAGCCGGCTCAAAGTGATGTTGGATATGCACAGAGCATAGAGAAGACTATGGCATTGCCTGTATTGAGCTGACCCCTTGGGAAATGACCAAGGCCTGAACTGATTAGCGACCAAAGTTGGGCGGGGTGAGCGTACGCAGACCTACATACTTTACGGACTAGCCAAAGTGGAGCTGAGCTGCCCCAGCAGTGTTTAGCCGGGTACTTTACTAGTGACCACGGCGATCCTTCGTCCACTCACCACTAGAGTTCTGCACGGCTGCAATTTTCCACAGCCTAGCCGCCCCACAGCCGTGGCTCCACAGCCACAGCCGCCCACAGCCGTGGCAAACTGTGGGCAGCCAGCCGTCAGCCGGCCGTGGATACTTTCAATGAAATGCAACCAAATAGTATATAATAAGTTGTTTTTAGTTGAAATATACCTATAGCCAAAAGCACATTGCAATGGGCTGTAGATTCTCAAGCTCATGAAGCATCATAGGTTAAGTGGTTGTGTATCTGGCTTTAGGCCGAAGGCCTGAAGCCTGATGCGCATCGCATGCCTACACAAGTCCCTGCAAGGGGTTAAGAAAGATGGGTAGGTAGGTGGTACCTACTACCTACATCAACAGAAAACAAACAACGAACCAGAATAGAAGCACTAGCAGTGTAGATATATAATGCCAAATCCTGAAGCATGGTTGTGGGACAGAACAACAGACCCTGATGCTTTTCATTATCAATGTTAGGTATGGAAAATGTAACTGAAGTTGATGGACTGTCAAACAGTGATTGTCTTGTCAAAACTCTTGCTTCTTTCTTACCTTGCATATTTTCTGGGGTGTGATATGCCAGGCTTGAAGCAGCCTTCTGAGCAAGTCTCAAACTAATTTGATATGCAAGGCATCATCAAAACACTAGTGAGCATCCAAGAAAGGAAAACGTTCATATATTTTGATTTTTCCAAATAATGATCTTCGCTCAAATCCCTAAGGACGTGCGAGCCACAATTGCTTCTTTCAATCAAAAATTTTACTTGAGTTTTTAATGACGTCAATAGCAAAAAGTGGCGAAAAATTGTTTTGTGTCACTAAAAACAGCCATAAAAATTATTATTTATAAATAATTATGCTATACAATTGAAAAACTTGCTCTCAAACAAAGACTGAACATCAAATTTTTACATTTTCAGAAGAAGACGTCATTTTATTAGTAAAGTCAACGGCTCGCGTAATAAATATTGTGTTCAGGGTTTTCACCGTCATGTGAATTACGTGTTCAGGGTTTTCACCATCATGTGAAGTAAGTAAGGTTCATGCTCACTTATATTCTAATTCCATTGGCTTCGTTCATGAGCATTTTCTGTTAGCGGTCACACACACACCAGTTAGAACATAAAGCGCCAGTTTTATATTATGTAATTGGACTTGCCGAAAATCCAGAAATACATCTGAGAGTTATTTTAGATAATATTTTATGAAGCCTTTACCTGCCTTCATCTAGGCGTGATTTCTTTTTCTATTACCTGAAAGAATTATTGAACGCTCGTCTTCAATAGCTGTAAGGTGCTCTCCTAATGACCAGGTGAGATTGATTTGAGAGGAATGTGACAATGCAACATGTTGCATTTTCTGAAACTGTCAAGCTCTTAATGATGAAGGAACAATTGGTACCTATAATTAGTATTCTGTACCAGAAAGCAAACTCCCCTACAGCAAATGGTAAAACTATTACAGGTTTTCAAAGGCTTCACCACTTTCAATGTTGCTGGGCATCCTTTGCATGATTTTTACAAGCTAGACTGCTTATCAGAATGTAAGATTAAGGATTTAAAATTTTATATTTGAGTACTTAAGATTGAGCTTGAAATCTCACAGCCGTGGCCACAGCCGTAGCCGTGTTCTTGGAGATATTTGCAGCCGCCCCGGCCCACAGCCGTGGGGCTGCAGCCAGCCGCGGCTGCAGCCGGCCGGTGCAGACCTCTACTCACCACCCTCAGTCACCGCTCTCTGGCGGCGACTTCCGTACACTAACGCCTCCTGCTCTGTCCACCAGGTGGCTGTTACCGGCTGGTGAGCAGCCGCAGTCGCCTGCAGCGGAGCCGCATTGACGCCGTGTTCAGTGCCATGTCCCGCACCGAGTGTGAGCGCATCTGCTACATGTCCTACACGGGCTGCCGCTCCTTCAGCTACATGTGAGTCGCCGAGGCGTGCTGGTCAGCCGATAAATGTACTCGAGTAACGACTCAGCTACCCTCGGTCTTCATGCAGCTGGTTCGCACACGGCCAGCTCTTCGACTTTGGCGTAAATATATTTATCAGACTCAGAGATAGTGACCCCTCCGGTAAAATATTCTGTCTCAGTAGTGTCACTCAAATGACGTCTACATTCGTCAATACGGTCAGTGTCGACGTCCGTTAAGTGGAGCCATGTGTCCAAAAAAGGTCCACGCTCCCCTAATCCTTAACGTTCACCTCCCTAACGTGACGCCCACGTCTCCTCTCAGGTCCCAGGCGAGACGGAACAACTGCGCCGTGTCTCGGGAGGACGCCTACCCCAGTCGACTGGAGCCGGACTCGCGCGCCGACACCTACCAGCGTGACTTCAGTCGGGCCTGCGACTTCGAGACCGAGGAGGGCAACGACGACGGTACTGACGCCTAGCGGAGATCGCAGGAAACACCAGAACGGAGTGGCGACACTCATCAGGACCAGTGTTGGGCGAGAGACACTATGAAACCGTATTTTTATACGCTTTTTAAATATAATCAGTGGCCTCTAGCCAACATTCCTCGCTTGCTCGTTAATGCCGTGCATTCTTTCTATGTTATGTAGAATATGTACATATTTTGCATAGGTCTGGTGGATTTTGCTCGGCTGCTTTTTCCTTACTCTTACCCGCCAGGCGCCAATGTTCGTTTGTCCGTGTTTCACCCCTGCACTGTGCGCCCTCCTCAGAGTGTTTCCGGCTGCTGACGCGGGACGCGCGCGTGTCCAACTCCCGCACGGACAACTCTGTGCAGGCGGGCTCCCTGCTGGCCTGTCAGCAGGAGTGCCGCCGCACCGGCTGCGAGACTCTCAGCTACCGGTGAGCTGCCGGATACGGCGGGCTGCTGGGGAGGAGAGGGAGGGTCTGACGGTCGGGGTCGGCTTCCTGGCTCAGTCGGACTGAGGATGGAACTATTAGGAGAACGGAACTATGAAGTAATACGTTTGGGGAAAGTTAACGAGTGTAAAGACGTAGTTTTGGGATAGGAATACTACATTTTGGCCTTGATCTCGGCAACCTTGATAGCCTCTTTTGCAGTGACTAGTAACTTATTCAACTGTATTGTCGTCATTTCTAAGTTCTTTATTTTCTTCCGCTGTATAACTCCACTGTATCTAACCTCTCCGTCTGTGCTCCTCTGCAGACGCTCGTCGTTCGTGGGCGAGACCAACTGCCGCCTGAGCCGGGACCTGCTCGACTCCCGCGACCTGATACCGGAGAACGAGCACGACACGTACACGCGTCTGCCGAGCACCCGGTGCGACGGCCGGCCGCCACCGGGACCGCCCGGACCGCCCGGTCCCGGACCGTCCGGTCCGCCCGGACCGCCCGCCAACACCGGTCAGTGGGGGCGGGAAGTAACTGAGATGTCTGAGCGAATGAATTAGGGTGAACTAAGTTATAAATGGTGATCTTATTAACCAGACCTTTGGTTATTTGATCTCTTCTAACCTCCGATGACCTCCATTGAGACAGATGATGATGATCCGTGAGACAGATGACCCCCACTGGCATCTGGTAGCTCAGCTGGATCTGACCTCTGTTGACTCTAAGCTGACCTCAGTTGACCTCTGTTGATGCTGATCCAACCCCCGATGACCTCCGTTGACCTCGCCTTATCTGACCTCCGATGACCTCTGATGACGTTGATCTGACCTCTGTTGACCTCTGGCAGGGCTCTGTTTCCGGATGGTGATGCCCGATGCCCGGCTCCGCGACAACTACGTTCTGGGGGTGGTCCAGGTCACTGACCTCAGACAGTGCGAGGACGAGTGTCTGCGGCTCAGAGACTGCGGCATCTTCAGCTTCAGGTGGGTGACACCGGGAGAGAGGCCAGGTCAGGGCGTGGGCGTGTCACAGTTTGCAGACCTCGGTTTGCAGACGGCATTCATATGTCGTGTATTCTTTTAGCGGTACAAAACCTGGGATGCGGTGCCATATAATTTTTGGGCAGTCCTGGCTCCGTCGTCCGAGGAAAATGTTCCGCCTGCGCCGGCTCCGACAACTATGCACTAAATAGGTGGGCAACTCTACCACCCGAGACGGTGTGCCTCGTTCAGAATCAGATGCATTGAAGTTAAGTTCACGGTGCGTTATCTTATTCATGGGGTTGTAAAATTAAATAAAAAGAAACCACAGTAGATACGCTTTCATGGTGCTTTCACTCTCACTCATTGGTCATGCGTCGACGCGCACACTACGCAGGGAGCGCAGTTCGGAAATTGAGAAGATAAAAACCGGGGCCGGTGCACTATCACTGAAGTGCGAAACGAGCGTAAGGGTAGGTCACCTTGCTCGAGAAGCAGTTCCTGTTGATCCGGGTTATTCTGTTATAAGCTCACCATCTGTTTCGGGATGGGCATTGGGTGTTGTTATTAATCCTGTCCGTTGTGCAGTACCGACCGATTTTTTTCTCGGGATGCTGCTTTACAAAATGATCCTCCACTTCATGAATGAGCCTGACGACGAGCTGTATAAGAGTGAGCTAAGAATGTTGAGTTGGCATGTGGTAGTCATTGCCGGTGGTCTGAGTAAGAAAATATGTACAGAATATCCCGGGAAAGCCACCGTCTCCTACCCCTTACTTTATTTGACTTGCCCGTGCGTGGGGTGCCCTGAACGGCGAAAGCCTTAGGGGCCTTTTGGGGATGCCGTTCCGCCATTGACGAGCCTCTCCAACGTGTCCTTGTCTCGGCCTGCGACACCTGCTGGTGCAGGACACCCACCCCCTGCAAATGGATGATCCTCTCTGACTGTGATTTATATGCGTATTGTTGTTACGTCATTTCCGTGCGACTTTTATGGCGATTTAGGCCATTGTTCTACTCAGTTTGAACTGGATCCTCAGTAGCCGTGCTTTACTGTTGCCCTTGCATAAAAGAATAGCTTTCTAACTGGCGCCCTTGAGATCCGAGGTTTGACGTCAGATTCACCGAAGTCGTTGCATAGGTATGAAAATGAACCAAAGCTCAAGGATGATTCAGCCCCCGTAGTGCATGCTAGGATAAAACTATGGAACTGTTACGCATAGTGCATACGCAGGGCATGGAACGCTCGCTGCGGATGTAACTGCGCTCACTTTCTTCCCTCCTCTGAAACATTTTTGTTGTTGTTTGTTTGAGCTGCATAGTATAAGGCATCCAAGCGAGTGACGTAGCATGGATTTATCATCAACAATTGAGCTCATGACGGCACCCGGAGCCTGATAAATCGCCCAGGAGGCAGGAGCGCAGGCTGAAGAACTCTTGTTATTACGCGGTCTTAAATCACCATACAGATGAGACCTTTCACAGTAGCAAGGCCAGACGACAAATGGCAGCAGGTGCGCGGCTGCTGGGACCGTTCAGTCATGCGGCTGCTCTACCCATGCCCGAGTCTCGGAACCTCGAATCGTTTCCTGTCGAAGGAGATTATAGCCGCGCCAGACGGTCCTTTCAGTCGAATCATCGTGACTGGTATCACCACGGTATCACGAGCGCGCTACCGTGAACAAAGTAGACGGTCGTTTCATTATCTGACCTTACCAGGCCAAAACAGGCGCAGAGAAAAGTGGTTTGCCTAGAAAATGTACCCCAAATCCCCATTTTTGATTTTGAAATGCAGTTACCGTTTAGTCAGTTTAGGCTGGACCTCGTAAAGGACGGTGATTCATGAATTTTCATGCGCATGAACCAAGTATTTTAAAAGGCGGTGCTGCTAAGTGCTATACCTAATGGTCTAGTGCACACCGCACGTTGGTCAGTTCATTCTACTTCCACTCCCGTTGTCTCCCAGTCCCGTCTCCGCCTCCGCCTCTCCGTCCGCCCGTCTCCCGCCTGCTCCAGCCGTCCGCTCGTCCGGGCCGGGTATCGGTCGGCCCGTCTCTCGTCTCTGTCCGCCCGTCCGGGCCGGGTGTCGGCCCGTCTCTCGTCTCTGTCCGCCCGTCCGGGCCGGGTATCGGCCCGTCTCTCGTCTCTGTCCGCCCGTCCGGGCCGGGTGTCGGCCCGTCTCTCGTCTCTGTCCGCCCGTCCGGGCCGGGTGTCGGTCCGTCTCTCGTCTCTATCCGCCCGTCTGGGCCGGGTGTCGGCCCGTCTCTCGTCTCTGTCCGCCCGTCTGGGCCGGGTGTCGGCCGATGCATTGTTCTTAGCTAATGACATCCGGCGGACCGTGTTTACGGCGAGCCACCGGTCGAGGTCGGTAAACAAGGCGGTGCGCGTGTCGGCGTGCGCACACGCAAACCTTACCCCATCCAGGGCCTAAAGACGACGGGAGGGTAGAGAGATGGTACGGGACAGTCATCCAGAGGGCCCGACTCCGAACAAGGCGACTGATTTACGGCTTTGTAACGTTCATGATGTTTCAAAGTGGACTGATTGTGCATATGCCTAAAGACGGTTGACCAATTGCAGGTTAATTAAAAAACAGCTGTGTTGAAGTTTATGTTCGACATTGAACAATGAATAAATCAGAGTTTCCCACTCGATTGGATGGGCCAGGGCCATATCGCCATCGTTTCTTAGCCCTGAGTTTAACTCGAAACTCTCATCGTCATCACGACCCCACTCCCGGATTAACCGTTCCGGTGACGCGTTCCACTCTCACCCTCGACCCGTCTCCAGCTGGCCCCGTATTGTTAGCGAGCGGCAGACGACACGGAGCGCCGGATTCGGCGGACAATCGGAGCGGTTGTGCAATGACGTCAGGGGCAGAGGATCGCAGGGAATGGTGCAACGGGAGCGGCTCCTGGTGTGTGTGGATTTATGTATTCTGTACCTATAGAGATCTAAACTGAACTTAAATTTACTACGGAAGCAAACTTTGGGCGCGTCTTTCCACACTCTTCAATTAGTTTGTGTCATCACTTCACATAGACGATTCAGTAAGGGTGCGCAGCGCACTGTGCTTAGATAGTTGTGAAGGAAATAAATTTCAAATTTTAATGCCCATTCATAGCATACCCCCGTCCCGTCGGAACAGCCAGCGCCCATGGCAGGCAGGCGCTCCCCTAAGCGGCCCAGTTCACGTCCTTCCCCTAAAAACTCTAATCCCCGGTTAGTTCGGCACGTAAATGGGCCATGCCGCCGCCACATCCCGGGGAGCGCAGAGGGGAGGGGCGCACGTGGTAGTGCCGCCCCTCCCCCCGCGGGGCCGGGAGTGTCAGTTCAGTGACCACAGTCACTTCCTCTCACACATATAGAAGCTGCTGCAGCGCGCCTGTGTGCCGCCCCATCCCCCCCCCATACTGAGGATCGGGTCTGTCATATTGGCGTCGCGTGACTATTCCAGATCGTTTACCGCGGCTCATTGGATAAACACACACCCGTTACACGCTGATTCAAACGTGCTCTAATTAAAGTGGACAGGCGATGCGTGCGTATGTGTGACTGCCGCTGGCCTGCTGCCAGCGCTGCGCCTGTTGCGTGCACTGTTGTTTGGTTAGCCATGGTTTGTCAGGAGCTCGTTTATATGAGTCGGTAGACCTATGATATTGGTCTCATTTCGGCGTGTTCATGTATGCGATATGCGGTACTAAAAACAGACATGTGTGCTTGCTGAGTGTTGGTTTTTAAAGACATCAGACAAAAGACCGTAGAGACAGCCGGAGTACGCGCATCGACGGGCGCGGCGGTGTCAATACGTTACCGATTTTTGCTTCTCGTTAGCCATCAATGTGTCTGCCTTGCTAACGATCACTGTGTGTTTCGATAACCAGCCCTGTCTGTCCCGTTTCCAGACGGACGTACAGCCGGACGGACAACTGTCTACTGAGCCGCGGACTGGGTCAGGGCGGCGTGCGGGACCTGCTGCAGCCGGAGTTCGGATGGAGCTCCTACCAGAGGGACGGACGGTGCCAGGGACCGGGAGGACCGCCTCCACCGCCGCCGTCCGGCCCCGGAGCCTGGACCAGCGGGCCGCCGAGCGGCTCCGGCTCAGGTCAGTCACGACACGGGTCGGTGATGTGATACAGGTCAGTCAGTGGGTATGGCACGGACCACTGCAACTGGTGAGGGATACAGGTCAGTCAGTCATGGTACGGGTCATGGATGAGGGACACAAGTCAGTCAGTTCAGGTACGGCACAGCTCACTGGTGTACGACACAGGTCAGTCAGGTGGTACTTACAACAGTCGGTCATTGAGTCAAAGCACAAGCCAGTCGCCAGTCGGTAATAATTAGTCATTCACTGACACTGGGACCAGCCAGTCGCGGACGCACCACTGGTTTCGGGTGCTGGTCTGTAGTATTCCAATAATATCGATGGTTGATCGTAAGGTGCAGCAGGAGTTCGAGTCCACCGAAGACGACGAAGGCTAATGGCTGAGACGTTTCCTGCGGTGGCTGTCGGCGATTATTGGTCGGAGAGGTCAGATCATGCTACACACTACACTGTCGAGGCGTTTTGTCGAATCGCTCTTGGTGACATCATGCCGTCCGTGGTGACCATGGCAGCCCCGTGCGGACCGTCACGGGCCGGCGTCACGCGTCACGTCACGGTGCCGGTGCCCGCGCTATCTCTCCGTGTATCTACCACCCGGCCTCGCGCGGTGCCTGGGCTGCTCACCGGGCGTGCTGCCTCGGCGGGTCGTGAGGCCGAGCGCGCGGACAGGGGCACCCGGCTCTGTCATGTGCCGGACACATCCGGCAGGCTGGCGGTGGCTAACGGACAACGGTGGACCATGTCGCTGGCCGGTGGACACGGCACGTATCTGGTGGCTGCTGCACAATGCACAATCATATGGCGGGGCACTGGCACAGTCACCAGACAGGCATCTGTCTATGGTAAACCCCATGACTTTGGGACGGTAGCTAGGTGTGCGTCGTAGGGAGTGAATAGGCTCAAGGCTGGTTGTCGCTACGTGTCCCTTATAGCGATGTGAAGTTTCATGAACCCAACGTTCGTATTATACGTGAAATAAGACCAATGAAATCGATATCGGATCTCGAACATCTAAGCTACGCAGCTACTGCCACCCTCAGTTACTTGCTGTTGCGATATTTCAGTTGGCGATGGGCATCAAACGTGGCGTTTAAAGGGACCCTCCCACCTTCAAAAAAGTTTATGAATTGGCATGAAAGTGATGTCGCTTGGTTCAGAAAGAGCAAAAACGAATATCTGCCAAATTTCACCGAAAAATATTCACCGGTTTTCAAGATATTAGACTTTTACTTTTGTTTACTTTTTTGGGATCTCCGCTGTTTCTAGCGACTTTATTTTAGAAGTGCGGCGTTTGCGGCAGATGTTGCGCGCAAATAGCATATACCACCGCGTGCTACAAAACGTTTTAGTCAAACATTTAAAAATCGTTAGATATCAGCGCTGACGTCACACATTCAGAGGGGTATACCTAAGCATTAGCCCCTCTGAATCAAAATGCTGCAATTTTGAAATTCAATATTTCCGATTTAAGGCATTTCTCGATGTTGTGAGTGCCGAAACCGGTAATTGTGAGCCAGGGACCCCATTTTGGCTATCTCAACTCAAATCTAATGTTAAGGTAGGAGGGTCCCTTTAACATTAATGTAAGCGCCAAAATTTAGATGATCGCATCACTGAATTATTGCTGCAGCGCTTAGCAATGCGTGGGAAGGCCGCACACTTTCGAGGACCTCTGGTGTATCATTACCAGCAACAATGCGTTGGCGGAACTAAAAGACGTAATTTGAAATTATGGCAATTATGCTTATGATTATACCAACTACGATGAGTAGAAACGCAGCAGCGCTGCGTGGCTTGCCGTGGAGTGATAGTAGACACCTTTACTGAGCTATCTTGCGCTACAAACTCATCCCTTTGTCATTCAATTCCAACCCTTACAGATAACGCGATGGATAAATTTGTCTGGTATAATTATTCAACCTACATCGGCCTTACCCGTAGGCCGTAAGACATGCCAGTGCGTTTTCGAACATTTAATACCTTTGTTCGAATAAGCGTTTTGCGCTGCCGTTCCCCGGCCACCTCCCCAGACTTGTGGCGGTCCTGCAGACTGCCTCGAGTCTCAGCAAGGTCAGTTGGTGGTCCCCTTCTACACGGCCTGGCGGCGGGCGGGCCGCGGGCGGGGCGAGTCTATAACTGGGCCACCGCCGGCGGGGGCACGCAGTGGGGCACCGGGGCGCACCAGCGGCACACCGCACCGTTCAGCTGCGGCGACCATGGCACGGCGACACAACCTCCGCTGGCGGCTGGCGGTGCTGACCGTCCTATCAGCCGCGGCTGCTCTTACCGCCGCGGAGGGGGAAGCAGAGACCAAGAAGGAGAAAGCGGCGCCGACGGCCAAGAAGCTGGAGAAGAGTTTCCTGCTGGAGGCGCGCGTGCCGGCCTACGACACCTACACCTGTCCACCGCCGGAGGTGATTTATGAGAGCTGCTACCTGACGGACGAGTACATTGAGTACCGCCGCAGGCACTCTCAGAGCCAGTTTGAGCACGAGCGTCACTTCAGGCCGGTGGCGGGGCCGCCGCAGCCGCGCCCGCTGCCCCAGCCGCTGCCCCAGCCGCAACCGCTGCCGCCGCGGCCGCTGAAGCCGCTGAAGCCGACGCTGGTGACGTTTGTGGCCGAGGAGGCCCACTCGGCTCGGAGAGACCCCTGGTACGAACAGCGCTACCACGGCGGTCGTGGTCCTCCGGCGGCCATACCCGACTGGAGCGGCGCGGCGGCCCGCGACAGAGACGCCTGGAGGGAAAGTAAGTCTCACCGCGGCACCGCGGCAGGGGCGCGTAATAGGTAAATAAAGCAAAGTTGTGCAAAAAGCTTAGCGCATGTTTCAAGGGAGATGCGTTTTTCGGTTTTGGCGTACCAACTACAAACGCTTAAAACTGAGCTTGCGGGTGGTCCTAAAACAAGCACTGCGAATCGTTTTGAGTCGAGCTTAGCAACGTTCTTTGCATGAAGTGTCGATTGACGGGCAAGAAGTCAGAAGCATACAAATCAAAAAATGTTTCGGAATGCTTTATTGGACCCGATGAAAGATATTCTTAGCACACTTGTGGTTGCTAGTCACAGTTGTCTTATGCGAGCTGTCTTTGATGCTCGTAAGGTAGGAAAATATGCAAATTTATCGCCATCATTGGTTAGCTAATCTCAATCTACCTAGTACCTACATGTGTTAGAGATATCCTTTTATGAGTATATATTTTTACTTCGAAATCTTCATAAAAAACATTAGTTATTTGTTCTTACTTCTTAGTGAACAAGTCATTTATACGCATGCGAAATATCAGTGTTGCCGAATTTTAGATGCGAGCTATGCTTATAATGGCAATGAATAACATATTCAGCGCCTATCAATGGCCGAGGCCCGATTTCTCATAATTGATTTCACCGTCTAATCTAACGGTACAACTCTGGGCGAGGCTGTTAAATCTGCGGCGCGGAGCGGCCGCAGCCCCCCGCGGGGTGTGCCCCCTGACCGGCGGTGTGTGCGGCCTGCGAGCAGTTCCGGCCCGGCCAGTCGACCCGCCCACCCCTCTCGTTTGTGCCGCATGTCGCTGCCGCCCAACTGGTGCAACACATCCGCGCGCTGCACCGCGCGGCGGGGCTCCCGAACGAGGGGGCGGGGGAGGGGCGGAGCGCCCGGTCATTGCGCGTCACAGCCATGATAATCAGACCCGGGATGACCGAATTTGCCGCTAATGATCGCTAACGGGGGGCCGGCTGAGCGTGGAGGTCAAAGCCTAAAAATCACGAGATGAGTTGATGCGTGAGTGGTCCCAGACAGTCAAAGGGGTGTTTATTCGATGACTGCGCTCGTCAGGCCGCCGCCGCCGCCAGTGTTGGTAGTTCCCACGCCTCCAGCCAGCCTCTGAGCGACCCTGTCACCGGCCCGCCCGTGTGTGTGTGGCTGTGATTGCAGGTGAACTTCCGGCCATAGTGTGAGGCCGCGCCGCCCGAAACGGCACGGTCAGCTCGCGCGGCCAGTCGGCGGCCACGGTCACCGGCCACGGCGGCGCGCCGGTTCCCCTCTGCTGGGTGCGCGGCGCGCCGCTACTGTTGCATGGCACCGCGCGGCGGCGACTCGTTAGCTGGCCTTCAGCCGGGGGACGGCACACGGCGGCTGTCTGTCCGGCGGTGGTCCTGCCAAGTGCCAACCCACGCCGGGGCGTGCTGGCCCGCCCTGACCTGACGCCGTGCTGAGCTGAGTGGCCGGCGTGAATTGGCGCACTAACCAAACCACTAACGGACTGAGCAGCTATCCCGGGGCATGTCACCTCTATCGTACCACGTCACCCACCGTACTCACTGCCTGACCAGCGGCCATAAACTGCCCGGCTCAGCGGCGGGAATGCGGGAACATAATGGGCATCACCGAAATGGCCTCGCCGTTTCAGGTTATGATTGATCACTGCCATTGGGGAGGTATTTACAAATGCACGAGCTAACCTTCATACTGCCGGGGGATCATTATGTTCGCAATATGTACGGTCCTCGTGCCGACTACCGAAGGTGTAGACTGTAGCGTAGCTGTAGTGGTCCGAGGCTAATCTGCCGACTGTCCTATAGTTCATGTGCAAGCTGTTACGCACGATATGCCCACGAGTCTGACCCCGCTGCCGCCTGCCGTAGGGTCACAAAGTCAAGCGCTGGCCATCTCAAACGGCAACGGTATTTAATCAAAAGTGACAGTTTTTGATATCCTGAGGGTTACATGCTGCTAACAAAACACATTGCTTTATTGTTTACCGAGTGTACCTAACTTCCATTGCCATGAAGCACATATTCCGCGCTTTTTACGCTAAATCGCTTGTGTCACTAACCCACGTCGTTTTTATTGCATGTAAAAAAATCTAATACACCGGAGTAAGATGCATATCTTGTTTTCGTAACTCTCAGACGTCACGATCCGTTGTTCACAATGAGTAAAGCCAATGGACCGGCGCGCGAAGCCTCGCTGCTTATACTACCCTCGCTAGATGGCACTAGTAGTGAGCGCCTGAATGTATGCTGTACCGCAGTACGCGAATACGTGAATCTCAGCCGGCGCAGCGTTCGGCGCGACTTGGGAGACTCTTCGAGCTTCTCTAGCTGCTGTCGATCGGTAGATTGACTTAGGCTCGTTTGCTTTTGACATTTACATCTCCCTACAGCTTGTGAGAAGTTGTACCTATGCAATAGTAACGTAACGCATTACGCATATCGCTATGAGGTGACGCGCACACTGTAATGCGGCCGCTTATAGCGCCTTGGGTTCGAGGCAGAATGTTCCCATGTTTGGTGTTCTTCTAAGGTTCAAACTGCGTCAAATTGTTAAAACATTGTCAAGTAGGTACCAACCGACTGCCTGGAACCAGCGGAGCTGCAAAGGTCGGTAGGGTGCGGAAATCATTGTGATTTTCAGGTGTCTAGTCTCCAGTCTTCCGGTTCACAGGATGCTTTTAAGTTTACGATGTGTGAACAGTGAACTTGAGTCTTGAACCATCGGTTTCTTTCCCTAATTTAGTATAAACTGCTTATTAGCTCTGCGTTGTATTTTTTTTTTTTTTTAGCAGTGTAGTCCTCTCTTAAGTTTGCAGCAGGCTTGCTCATACGCATAACATTTCTTTCCACTGACATTCAAAATGTACCGACCGTGATTATGGGACCCCACCGCACCAAGGAAATGCCGGGAATAGTTGTGCGATGCCGGCGGCTGTCCCGGCGCGCCGGTTTGTCCGCGGACGGCCGAGCGGGGCTCGTTTGTGCCGCTCTGCCGGCCGACCGGCTCCGGGTCGGCCGGAGGGAGGTCAGCCCATGGCCCCCGCCGCCGCTGCCCGCGAACCGTTCACGCACAGCTGATTTGGCGCACCCCATGTCGGCGGATTGTGCAATTGAACGGTGATTAGCGGCGATCCGAGGCCTCAGGAAGGTCACGTGCGATTGTGACACCTTGGATAAAGGTCAGGTGGTTAGGTGCGTGCTTGTGGTGGAGCCCCAGCTTTAAATGTTTGACGTATTAATTGCGACAGCTAAACGTTTCACCTGAATCAGTGACGAAAATGCGTTTCTTTGTGCGGTGGGCACGAACAATTACTCCAAGGCTTGTTACGATTCAACGAGTAACTACACAGGTGCATACGTCATTCTCTACGTAGGACCTCTTCTGGTCTGCCACACCATGCAGCGTTCGTCGTCCGCAAACATCCAGGTAGTCACCAGTCACCTGCGACATACGCGACCTCGTGACACCTGTCCTCCAACGTAGTTTGCAATATGTTACAGACTGTTCCGATTTTGCTACCTCAGCTGTGTATCGTAGGGTGGCAATTGGCATGGCGTGTAACAAAACAACCTTACCACGATTCCCATCTCGTATTGTAGGATGTCATCGCCCATACCGACCTCACCCCACCTTTTCTGTCCCGTAGGATGTTACCGGCTGCAGCGGCGGGACACGCGGCTGGAGAACCACATCCTGGAGGTGATCAACTCCCGCGAGCTGAGAGACTGTGAGGAGTCGTGTAACCGGGACCGGCGCTGCGTCTCCTTCAACTTCCGGTGAGAGCGGCAGGATGATCAGCGGGAGGGCGTGAGAGGGGCAGGGGTGGGGTGGCCAGGGGGTGGGGGAGGGGTGGAACGGGGATGCGGCGCTGGAATTCCTCGATTTTCCCGTGAGAGTGGACATGGTTTAGAAACAGAGAACTGAAGAACATGGTAGTAAAAAAGGTATAAATGGGAGTGGAAACTGTAAAAGCAGATTTTATGTCGAGCTGCAATTGTAAGCCATTCTGAAGGCATGCGTTACATACGGAGGTAGCGTATGTAGGGACTTATAGGGACTTATCCCTTATCACATATTTCAGGAGTGACCCGGTGGAGACGGTATGCGAGCTGACCGACATGGACAGCTACGCGGCCGTCGCCCAGTTCCGGCCCATCTCCGGCTGGGACTTTTACGAAAAGGACGCGTCCTCGTACTGTTCAGGCTGGGATAACGACTACTTCGACCAGCACAACTTCGGGTATCCATGTGAGTGCACTTCTAAATCACAGCCGAATGCAGGGGTGAAAGAGTTCAGTGTCTGTCGAATGTCACTGGCTCCCATACAATTTTCGTTTTCATTGGATTTTTTAAATGCATTCTTGTCAAACAGCGAGCTCATTCAAATCCGGTTTCTGATTGCAGTATATTCCTCAGTCGTCTTATACTAACAAACGCAGCCGCATTCTGTAGCTTCACGCTTTATCTGCAATGCGTTACTAACGAGCGTTTTATACCGTATACAATTTGGCTTTGTCATGCGATGGCTGCGGAAATTCGCCATAAATGACGGGTGCCACCGACGCATGCGATCATGAGCTTCCTACTCAGCCTTCCCAAGATTATTCGGCCGGCGTTTGTTTGTCATGTCCTCAAAGCATACCATTTCCAGCGCAGTAACTCGCGCCCCCATCAGCAGTTCAATCTGCCATCTGTGATGAACAAGGCCAGGGTGCGGCCGTCCCACGCCAGCCAGCCGCGGGTGACGGCTTCCGAACCCCGCCCACTCGAATCGCTCCTCACAGGTCACCTTGTGAGGGCCGTATACCGTTTGTGAACCGTGAAGACACCATCCTCACCGTCCCGTGATTACCCGAACACACGGCCGCTGTGCCCGTCCGGCTCGCAATCTGTCCTCACCGGGCGTCGCCGCGGTCCCTTGTCCGCGCCTGGCCTGTCCTTGCCGGCTGCTCGCCTGGTTAGGTGGCTAACGGCGTGACAGGACGGCGCCGTGACCTCGTCACGTTACACCTCGTGACGGCGACACAACGGACGCATTGTCACGTCGCGCCGACCGTGCACACTGCGCGTGGACCGAGGGACGCCGTGACGCCCCCGCCCGGGGCAGGCGAGGGTCACGGATGGTGACTACGGGAGGGGTACGGCACAGCGCCGTGGTGGCTGACCAGTCAGCGACCCATACCGTTATTCGCTAACGGTCAGCGACATAACTTTAACCGAGAACTACAATCTTCGTCTGGCTGATCAATAAGCACGACGTTTACCTGATAAGTCTGTTGGACTGCTAAGCTAGCCCGATAAGACTGCTGGTGAATCCCACTAACCATCTAAGCTGGCACATTACTCACACCACTTTGTCAGCAGCCCATCGCACACAGACTCCCCCAGTCTGACCCCGGTCCGGCCCTCCCCGCAGACTGTTCGGCCCGCGTTCAGGACAACTCTCTGCTGAACGTGAACGCCGTCCGACGCGACATCACCGCCCGCAGTCTGGCCGAGTGTGAACAGGCGTGCCGCGACGAGCGCGCCTTCCGCTGCGAGACGTTCTCGTTCGGGTGAGAGACTGACGGGCAGTGGAGGTAGACTGGGGTCGTATGTAGGAAGATGTAACTGCATACATAGCCTGTCTGACTGGCAGGAATTGCCGCTACATAGTGTATTTGGTTGCTAGCAGCATTTCTTATGTCCCTGAAGTTGATGCCGCGAGGCTATGATTCGGTGCCAGTGACCAAATGGTTTTAATTATTCTCTCACGGAAGTTGTCATACTTGGCAGGTTGTATAATAATTTGTTCAGGCAGCGTATCTTAGGAATGTAATCGGCCTATCATGGACCAAGGCCAGTGTCATGCAGAGGCCATGTGTCATACACTAGACGGCCGAGAGTGACCGTCCATTGTTGTGTCCATTGTGCGGTGCACTGCCCAGCGGCCCTCCAAGATTCTTCCAGATATGCGTCTGCCCTCCCACTGTCTCGTACACTGCCCCTCCCATTCTAATGCCTAGCGGATTGTCTAGCTTCGTGTACCCATAAACTGTTTATCAAACCATGCGCATTTTTCAACAGTCGGCCTAGCCCCCGGCGACTGCCTGGACTGGCGACTGGGGACTGGGACCTTGCTCTCCTGCACCCCCCCCCCACCCCCCCAAGTATCGTCCAAGGTACGGTGACTGACGTCTCCCTCCCCACCCGTTTCCAGCGTGCTGCCCGGCGGCCGGGCGTTCTCCTGCCACCTCACCGACCTGCGTGTCAGCGAACTCTCCCCGAGGGATATCGAGCCGGCGCCCAGCTTCGAGATCTACGACTTCCACGGCAACGGCCGCGAGTGTGACCGGCCCAACGACCAGTACGACTTCAGGTGGGTGCCGAAAGGACAGGGCGGCAATGGGAAATAAGCAGTCGAGTGTGAAGTTAGTAGGAGCAAGGGTAAACGCGGATTAGCGAGATAACTTTATTCATGGTGGACGAGCGTTTATTTCAGTGCAAGGCTCAAATGTAGCTACTTGCTACTCTCGTGAGGTGCGCGACTAGACGGACCTCTCTGGCTAACCGTTCCTCGTTCGCGCTAAGGGTGACCACCAACCACCACTACAGCCCAAGAGTCACTCGCCGCCCTCTCCTCCACGCTGACTGTGACCCCCTTCCTCCGTCGACAGGCACGGCGCGCTGGAGACGAGCTCGGGTCGCTCGTGTGTGCGCGGCCCGTGCCGGATCGACCGCTCCGGCGGCTACTGGTACTGCTTCACGGACGTGGCAGAGGCCGTCTGGGACTACTGCTGCGACCCCGACAGTCAGTGCCAGCACGACGCCAGGATGGACATGCAAACGTGAGTCGCGCGGTGGAGAGGGTGGGATAAAGTGGGGAAACCGTGGGTGAGAAGGAGGGGAAGGGGGCGACGGGACATGCTAGTGTGATAGTGCGTTTACGAATTTGCAAGGCGCACTGGAGCCTCAGCTATGCGTATTAATTTCATCACGACACGAGTCATAGCGAGCATACGCACTTGTTTGCGAACTTCCTATCCAATTACCCTCTGTCTCTCTGTCGAGTTCAAATCCCCCCCCCCATACCTGACCCACCCACTGTCTCCCCGGCAGGTGTTTTGTGACGCAGGGCCGCGGCCTGTACCGTAATGCCGGCCTGGATACGGCGTGGCGGCCGTGCTCGTACCGCCCCGGCCGGTACGCCTACCTCACACGGAACGGTACCGACCACGTGGTACCGGAAGACACCGCGGCCAACGCCACCGACACCGCGCAGAACAGCCTCCTGGAGCCCATCGACCTGACCGACGAGCGCGACAAGAGTCGTAACTGAGCGCGACAAGAGTCGTAACTGAGCGCGGCGAGAGACTGAGCGCGGCGGGAGTCGTAACTGATCGCGCGAGGAGCGGAGAATGACCGCATCGAGAGTTGTAACTGAGCGCGCCAAGAGTCGTAAATGAGCTCCAGGAGTCGTAACTGAGCGCGAAGAGAAGAGACTGAGCGCACCAAGACCGCGACTGAGCGGCGACGAGCGCCAAGAGTGGGGACTGATTCTCCGTGCGTGTTATGTCGGCATCAAACTGTCGAGGACTAAAGCGCCACGTTGGGATTAAGCAGGGGCCACGTACGAGAGGCGAGTCAGATCGCATGACCCGCTGGAGTGAGGTGTGAGGACGAGCTAGGAGGCCAAGTGCAGCATGATCGCCTTGTGCTCGTGAGAGAAGAAGACCAATAGGAGCGCGCCGGGGAGGGTAACTCTGGGTGCCAGCTGGACGCCACTGAGAATCTCGTGTACACCAAAGCGATGCGGGACCGCGCCGTGCCGCGCGATTAGTGAGAACGCGGAATCATGTTCATGTGTAGTAAGTGGCGTAACGCCGACAGATTTAAGATATTTTAGTAAGACGGCTGGTCGGTCATGAGTACGTAACGCGAGAAATTCGCGTCAGGGTGCGCCACAAGCCGCGCAGAGCGTACATTTTGCAACAAGTTATTGTCCACAGCCAACGGGACGACATTCATATCATGACTCATGAAAGTATGCACTGTTGTCCATCGCCTTTGCACGTGATCATGAGCGCCTGTTCGTATCCTGTCTGCACCGCCACTGCCTGTCTGCGCTGTCACCGCTGCTGCTCGCTCTGTGCAGAGCTGGCCTTCAACCAGAGCTCTCTCATACTGAATGTAGTCTGTGCCCGGCGTGTATGTGTTTCAGTGTCGCTACCGTGCCTATCCATCCGTCCAGTAAGTTTATAAAGTCGCGGCCATACTCCGCGGTCATACCGACCTGGTTTGGTATGCCCATACTGAGGTGGCACGCTCCCTCGACTCGGTGTATACCGCGGTCGCCCAGTCTTATCTGGGTCTGAACTCTGAACTCACGGCGGGATGACTGCGTATTGCAGCTTCGGACCAATACAGTCGAGACGATGCCTGTCGTGTTTTTTGGTGCGTGTGCGGCACATTAGAAAGTAAGATGTGGGCCATTGCGTCACTAAACCGCTAAATATGTAGTCGACGCCTAGAATCGCTCTACTCTGCACAAAGTGTCGACGATAGCATTCGTTCAAGAGTCCAGCATCCTTCTAAACCACAACACCATTCCGCAACCAGTTGTTGCCTAAATGACTTGGCATGGTTTCCAACTGTATTTGTCCTGAATGCGAATGACGAATAAAAAAAACTCGAAATCAAAGATGGCAGTAAACCGAAAGCGAACGTCAACTACCGAATATCTGGTATGAAACGCTGATAAATGGCTGGGAAACGCGCGCAATTCGCTTTCACAGCGGGTCGCCGACCACCAGCGGACCTCACACGACACAGGCCGACGGCCGGACACGGGGGGGGGGGGGGGGGTCAGGGCAGCCCTCTTTTTATTACCGAAAATGCTAGCATGCAAACGTTAAATTACTAACAATACCCAATAACAAGAGGATGACGTGCCAAAAATCAATTCAGCAAGAACTGCATCAATGCTAAAGATGTGAGGCTTCAGTAGATCAGCATTTTGGACAGGTTGGAACCTAGGGTAAGCTGGGGAGGGCAAAAGTTTCCTAAATTAGGAAGACATTGGTAAGGAAGGCACCAAAATGGGTCAATGAATACAAATCGACGAAGTTGCAACTCACATGGGACGCTTTTCCCCCTGATCTGCGTCCCATATAACCCATCCCCGCAGACCCTGTCATTTACACAGAGAACAAGCGAAAAAACGTACCGATGAGCGGCAAATCAGCTTAGTCTAGCACTTGACTTTACAGTCCAACGAAGTCGCTCGTCTCAATATCAAATACCACAGAGAAGCCGACCTTTTGATATTTTGTTTCCTACCCCAATGCATCCACAACACCCACTGTTCTCGCAATCCGAACTGAGCTCACATACTTTACGGCAGAACGTTCGACTGTAGGGGAATACTTTACTGTGTCGTGTCAGGCGCCAGTGGCCGGGCTGTGTTGGCCGGCATGAAACGCTCGGTGGCAGTCGATAGGCCCGCAGACGTTCGATGGTATCGGCGGTCCAATCGGGAGATCGCCGCGACCTCACCGCCGGCCCACAGGCGATCTGTCAAACAGCCAGGTTAGCCCGTCAGCCAACGATAAATACGACTGCGGCTTCATCGGGAATGCCATCACCGGTTGGGGCAAACAGAAAAAAATGACGAAAAGTAAGTCATACAGAACTTCAATCATTTCAACCAAGTTCTGGTTCAGCTGTGCTCAACTAACATTCATTTCACCACCATCACTACCAGCCTTGTTCCGATGGCGATAAGCGGACCTGATGGCATTGTCGATGTGTGATATTCACAACGCCTTCAATCACTAGCTAGGACCCCAGCAGACCCGTCTGGAGAAATCCTCACCTTGAGCGGGTGCGGCGGCGGCGGCCGTGTGACCTCGACCCGGACCTGGAGCGGGACCTGGCGGCAGAGGGCGGCCGTTAGGCACTGGTCGGCCGGCCGGCGGCGTGCCCCACAGGGCAGGGCCGCCGGCGAGTCCGGAGACTGGTTTCGCTGCTCCGTCAGTGGGCTGAGTGTCGGGGCGCTCTCTTCTCTCCAGTGATGTAACGATAGTGTTTTGGTTTTAGGGGCGCCGGGACGAGTCTCTCGGCCCTCTCTCAGCAGTGGTAGGGTGTCTGCCGACCTCAGACCGTCGCTCTCCTTCCTCTGTGAGTGGCCGTGTGTTGCCGTGTCGCACTGTGTGTGACGGGGAAGTACCTACCGGAAGGCAGACAAGTCTGCCGGTTACCTGGACCTGCGCCGGCCCTTGCCCGCCGCCGGGCTGGAGTCGCGAGAGCCGCTGCTTGACCGTCGCCGCCGTCCCGACCTGGGCGGAGCAGACACAGTGGGTAAAACACGGGCCACGAGTTACCAGCTGCAGATCATACGGTCATTCATCATTCAGTGGCTCACCATAAACACACCATACGCAAGAAGCTGTAACATTTCATGGAGCGTGAATGATATGCCAAAAATTTAACAGAAACTTTTTAAATGCGACAAATGACAATCCACATGCACGATTGACGTTTCTCTACTTATTTTACATTGTAAGGCTTAGATGCAGCAAACTGCTGCCTGATTTGATCGATTTACACCACACTCAGCTTTTACTGACCTCCCGTTGCGTGACTTTGACTTGGAGCTGGAGCGTGACCTCGTCTTTGACCTCGACCTTGAGCGTGACCTCGAGCCGGACCGAGAGCGTGAGCCGGACCGGGACGACGACGAGGAGGAAGAAGATGAAGACGAGGAGGACCGGGAGCGGCGGCGGGACCTCTCCTTCGACTTGGAGTCTGTCTTCGAGTCGGCCTTGGACTCGGTCTTGGAGTCTGTCTTGGAGTCATCGTCGTCACCCCAGCCGCTCAGGTCGTATTTGGAGAGGTCGCCGTCATCGTCATCGTCATCGTCGTCATCTTCTTCTGATTCCTCCTTTTCTTCCTTTGGCGCCGGTTTCGCCTGACGTGGAAAGGGGCTGAGTCAGACAGAGGCGTGACAGCCCTGCTGATTTTATCGAACAATTATGAATGCTAATTGCTAGGCTCACCAGAAAGACCTTCCCCGATGCGTTAACATCGGTATCCGGACATTAGGTTCACTATCGAAGGAAAGAAGCGAACATATTGCTTCCAGTGCCAAGCTTACCGGTTCTTTGCTGGCAGAACCCGAACTGCTTCGGAACTTTTTCTTCCTCCGGCCAAACTGAAACATACGGTAACCATTACGGTTCACAATGACACAATCGCCGCAAATGAACATCCAGATGACGGCAACGCGATTGCACGTAAGCAAGAGGATACTGGTTTTCCAAACAGCAATAAAAACAAGATATTCTTAAATCCAGCTATCATCAACATTCAAAAATGCAAGACATTTTGTCATCATCGCTTTAGCAAGCCGGGATAATCCCAGTCCAGAGGTGGCTGGGCGCCCACCTCGTCGTACTCGTCGTCCGACTCAACGCGCTCCTTGTACTCGAGTCCGACGCGCTCGTTGTAGCCGCCGCCGAAGCCGGTTCGCTCCTCGACCTCGCCCACCTTGGGCGCGTTACACACGTTACACGTGGAGCGGCGCGCCCAGTTAACGTTACCGCACCTGGCCGGGGGAGAGAAACAGAATGGTTAGACATAGGGGACATCATAGGGCGGGGCCCGGAATGTTACAGCAAACACTCAGTTCTCAGCAAATGTTACAGAAAAAGGCAAACACTGGTAAAACTCCCTGACATTCATACCATATGATGTGGGAAAGTATCTGTGCCTGACAAGGAACAAATAGATCTTTGAGCCCAGGGGCGCGGGAACTACTTTCCGACTGGGGGGGCACACCATAATAGAGATCAACCTAGGGTACCCCCAAATCTAGTTTTCTCACCGGTTTTACGCCACTTATTTTTCACCCTTCGGCTTTTTCAACAAAAAAAGAAAACTTTTGCAAAAAAAGTGTGGTATTCCGTCTCAAAGCTGTGGGGGCACCGCCCCCACGGCCCCAGAGCTGGGGGGCAAGCTGCCCCCACTGCCCCCCGGCTCCCGCGCCTATGTTTGAGCCGCTGCATCTGGTAGGGTAGACTAATGGGCATTCTAGAACCAAATGTCATCTAAAGCAGCTGAACAGAACTGGACAGTGGATAGCAGACACTGACTTGTTACACTGCCAGTCATCAGCACTGAACAGGCCTTTGCTCTTGTCTGCGGCTGCCTTCCCAATCTCGATGCCAAATTTCTTTTTGATGCCCATCTCCTTGGGCTTGTTGGTGCCACATCGGTTACAGGACATCCGGCGGGCAAAGTTCAGGTTGTTGCACCTGAAAAGAAAACAGCAAATTGTCACAGCTCAGATGAAAGAAGACCATTGCCCATAAGTAAAGATGTACAGATCGATATGAAGGGCAGCAATGATCAACACATACTAAAAGGTAACTAAATTCTCAGAACCTGTATCAGCCATTCACTGCTGAAGTTCAACTAACTGGCATTTACTTACTTTGCTGAAGGGCACACCCAGTCTCCCTCCCCTCCCCCATGGCCACTACCACCAGACATGGGGCCAGCATTCCTGTGCATCTGAAAAATAAGGGGAAATGGTCTGAGACTGAGCAATCATTATATAAATACACTTTTATGACAGGGGAAGGCTTGGCAGTAAATAAAAATAAGCTACAAAATGCTTAGCACATAGATAAGCCTACTAAAACTTAACAGTCTGCTAAAAAAAAAATCCAAATTTTTCTTCCAAATTTTTAAGCTACCCACGTGAAACTGCAGCCGCAGTCCTATCCACGTATGTACTAGTACATGATATAACTTGAACTCAGAAAAAACAACTTTATTGACTTTTGGAACATACTTATAAGCAATAAATCAAAAATTGGGGCATTCCACGATAGATCGACCAAAAAAAAATTAAATTGACACCCTCATATTTTATTTTTCGCTCAAAATTGGTGTATAAGGTAGAAATGGGCTGGAAAGCCAGCTGTGGCAAGGATAATTTTTTTTGACCTACAGTTTTCGAGATATAGCCTCGGGCAATTCCTGGAGGTCACGCAGCAACCCTATGTTTGGCGGCTCATAACTCAGAAACTATTGATTTTTGTATAAGGATAACTTTATGTCTTCCAACTCAAAATTAATAAAGGAAACTTTTGGCTATCTCGGATTTTCGATTTTCGAAAATTTTGGTCACGTGACCTCTTGACCTATTTTTTGAAGAGTGACCTTGACACTTTCCCACCTGAAAGTTAAAATTTGGTCTGATGACGATTCAAGCCTTATCAATGGTCGTTCATATGCGACAATAAAAAACATGGCTATCGGCCTGCATTGACCTCAGGTCAGGTCATCTTTGTGACCTGCCCATTATAAGTCAATGGCAAAAGTACCGGCTAGGCCACTAAAACGCATCGGACTGGTACAGTTACTTCATAATCATACCATATTAGGTTATTATTGATCACTCTGGTGCAATTTTGCATCAGTGACCCGCGGAAAGGTCATCCGAGGTCAAATTATGACTCACGACATTCATATGCCTTTTATGTCTATATCTTTTGATAGAATAGGTATAGGGATTTGGGAAACACATCAATTAGTTCACTTTGGCCAGGCGCATCATGCCATACGCAGCCTTATATGTTAAGGTCATTTCGTGACCTTGACCTAGGGTCAAATTTTGGTCAAATTTCATATTTGACCTTTCGAAATAAAAACTTATACAATTCGATCCGACTGGAAAAAGCAAACACGATGGCGCTTTTTTATACATCTGACTTCATAAACATAATAAGATATTGGCGAAAAACGTTTTTATTCCGTGAAAAATGTTTATTTTCAGCCAGATTAAATAACAATATTTTGGCGTGGTAAAGGCATTCGAGGTGCATAGACACGTTGGCGTAAGTACTTGTACCTAAGCAATTCACGCTCATATGACTCGGTGTTGCGGTCATTTCTACAGGTACCAATCTAAAAAAAATAGATTAGGTAGATATGTGATGATCAGCAGTTTCGTACATTTGGCATGAATAATAATCACTCACATAAAACATTTTCCTATGTACACCCTAATCGGCACGCACGGCATACAGCAAACCGACAACATATTCACAAAAACACAACACAACATTGGTCCGATCCAACAGTGCAACTTTCCAAGCTCGTCTACTTTGTATGTGCTTATCTAAGACACTTTGACTTCCTTGCCCTCCCGATCTTCTGAAAGCTCGTGGACGCGGACTGTGGTCAGGTCAACTGGACAGAATCTGTGGTACTGTCTCGTCCCCTTCACAGTTTTGGCCCTGGCGAAGCGAGCTTTGAGCTCCGTAGCCGCCTTCACTACCTCCCCCTTAGCCACGAAGAGGAATTCTATGGCGCTGACAAATTGCTGGCTTAGAAAGTCATACATGTTTTGGGCGGTTAGAATTTTATCAGAAACCGTGCGCCGTAGACTCTCGCGGTACGTTGCGCGCTTGACGGTTCCACCGATCCCGTCACAGGCTCCTTTGCCGTGGGAGGTGGCGAAAAAATTCCATTCACAGGGAACCTGAAAGTCGTCAGCATGGCTGCATACGTTTGCGAAATTGAACTTATTTTTGTACTGCCCTCCACAGCCGTCGCTAAAATGGTGAATCTTTTTTAGCACCGGTACACGGTTCTTGATCATCGGCACCAGGCGGCGTAGAAATGCGTGCACTGTGACGGTGGTGTGTTTGGTGCAGTCAGATATTACGCAGTAGCTTTGATGGTATTGCTCGCCGTCCTGCCGCCAGTGCACCACAAACGGGTGGACTGTGCACTGGGACGCGTCCCAGTGGAAGCCCTGTGCGGCATCCTGCACAACAAACGAGAAGTTTTCGGAGAAGTCACCATGGACCACGGCCTCTCCCTCCCCAAGCGTCTGTTTTAGTTTAGCAAAGTACGAAGCCTGCGCTTTTGCCTGATAATGGTGGCGGGTGAGGTGATATATCTGCTGGCTAAGGCTCAGAAGACATTCTTCACGACTCGCCACCATTTCTGACAACGTGCAGCGATCACCGCTCTCCCACTTTTTGTAGCGAATCTCGACGTCGTCATCATCATCGCCCGCATCATCATCGTACACCAGCATCAGTTTTTCATCGTACACCAGTTTTTGTGTGCAAAACATGACCACAAAGCGACCTGACGCATGCCATAAGCAAGCACATCGGTGCCTATCCAACGTCTCGACCTATCTCTGATAGATCCGAAGATATCGCAAAAAAATGCATATTTAGGTATGCATGTCGTGAGTTTATCATGTGACCTCGGATGACCTTACGACAGGTCACTGATGCAAAACTGCACGAGAGTCATCAATGATAACCTAATTCGGCATGATTCTGAAGTATTTGAACAGGTCAGATGCATTTCGGTGGTAATTGATATTTCTGCCATTGACTTATAATGGGCAGGTCACAAAGATGACCTGACCTGAGGTCAATGCAGGCCGATAGCCATTTTTTTTATTGTCGCATATGAACGACCATTGATAAGGCTTGAATCGTCATCAGACCAAATTTCAACTTTCGGGTGGGAAAGTGTCAAGGTCACTCTTCAAAAAATAGGTCAAGAGGTCACGTGACCAAAATTTTCGAAATCGAAAATCCGAGATAGCCAAAAGTTTCCTTGGTTGATTTTGAGTTGGAAGACATAAAGTTATCCTTATACAAAAGTCAATAGTTTTTGAGTTATGAGCCGCCAAACATAGGGTTGAAGCGTGACCTCCAGAAATTGCCCGAGGCTATATCTCGTTAACCGTTCGTCGAAAAAAAAATCATCGCCACAGCTGGCTTTCCGGCCCAAAACAACCCCCTAGACGAATTTTGAGCGAAAAATAAAATATGAGGGTGCACAGCTTTGGTCGATCTATCGTGGAATGCCCCAATTGGTAAATACTACATACCTTTTCAGTCAGGTTGACCCCTGCTGTACAGCCTGTTCCGCTTTGGCGACAAATTGAAATGCCTTGCCTGGCCAATTCGAATCAAATTGAAATTAGGTGATGATTAATGAGATGTTCTCAATAGCACAGATAATACAGCGAAACGCGCATTCTTTTTTCTCTCAACACACGCACGCAAATGTGACCACAAGGTTGACGAAAAACAGATGCTTTCGAGTCGACGGCAGTCTTTTTTTTTAAACGTGGATTTTCACAACTAACGAAAGTACTGATAACTTTCAATATTCTGTTTTTTTTGGGGGGGGGGAGGGGAGTGATAGTGCACGATACAAAATCTTGAGTGGACACACTTTCACCTGAAAATAACCGCTTTTCTTTCCACAACTAACCACCTAACCTGCCACCTAACAGCCCCGCCGGAATCCAATATCAGACCAGACGATGGATCAGATGTAACGAAATTCAGCAAGAAACACTGAAAATGAACTGAAAAAGGCCAACACAAATAAAGGTCACTGGTCATAGTTCCTATTCCAATCCATACCATTTCATTCACATTGACCATAAGGTCAATGATTCTAAGCTTGAAGCTACCTTGCCTATCCAGAAGACTACACACGGAAAAGCCGCATCATCGATTGTACCTTCGACCTAAGATCATACCTTGGATCGTACAATCAATAATTTTGGGTCATTTGCACACAAAGAAATGAACAATGCTCCAAAATGTATTCGGAATAAATTCACGGTACAAAATCCAGGATTCCATCGAACATCAGAGAGCCTCTCGACTAGTTAGAACACATATTGCACAAGTTAAGCTCGTCGTGTACGTAGAAGAGTAGAACATTATTCGATGGGTCACACCAACAACGCAGAACAACGGCAATACAACACCCCACACAAATTTTGGAGTGATTCGTCGCGGATGCAAAACATATCGTATAATTACCTTCGCTTCGCGAAAAGTGAAATGAGTAATTAGAGAGATCACAGCACACAAGTTTGGGTAAATAATATCTCCAACACCTGAACAATATCTTAAACACATTTAACATTAACTTCAAAAGCACAGCATATTGCACGAGATGTTATGTAAAAATACAATGTTTCAAATTCATGACCAACTCTGGGCAAGCATCACAAGAAGCTAGTCCACTGCAGTTCGCGAGCCTGAATCTTCGCCAAAATTGACGTGAACTCTCCGAATCTCAAGCAGTTCCCAGCAACCACACCGTGCCTGGTCTCCATTTTTTTTTTTTTTGAACGGACAAAATTGCGCTTGCATAATGCTTTTGAGGGCGCACCCATTCATGTCGCAGCAGTCTCAATGCATTGATGGGCATTCCCTTTGCCTACACCCTGAGAAATCGGCTTCGAAGTCTAGTTAAGCTAACCCGCTAGCGAATATTTCAGCATTTATAACTACAGCTAGAGCCCATATTAGTTGCACTAGATCCCTGATATGAAGATAAGTCCCATGCACACAATCCCTATAGTTGCACAGCCCCTCTAGCCACGAAGCCCATCGCTCCATCTAGGCAGCGCCCATGTAGTAGCGGGCCGGCACAAACGGCATCTTGGCCACCTTGGCCGGCACGCGCTGTTTGCGTACCTCGAGGCGCAGCTCCGTGCCCAGCTTGGCGTGCGCCGCCGACACGTATCCCATGGCCACGTTATGTTTGAGCGCCGGCGACGGGCAGCCGCTGGTGACGGAGCCCACCGGCTCGCCGTCCGGTGTCACGATCCGCACCCCGGCGCGGGCCGGAGCACCCTCCGACACCAGACCCACTCGGCGGCGCGCCGGCTTGTCGCGCAGCTGCGCCAGGATCGTCTCGGCGCCGGGGAAGTCGCGCGCGGCGCGCCGCCGCTTAGCGATGGTCCACGCCAGCGCCGCCTCGATGGGCGTGGTGGTCTCGTCGATGTCGTTACCGTAGAGACACAGGCCGGCCTCGAGTCGGAGCGAGTCGCGCGCGCCGAGCCCGGCCAGGTGCAGCTCGTCCCCGCCGGCCTCCATCAGCCGCTCGGCCAGCTGAGTGGCCTCCGCGGCGGCCACGGAGATCTCCACGCCGTCCTCGCCCGTGTAGCCGCAGCGCGTGACGCGGCAGGCCAGCCCGCACACCTCCGCCGCGGCCGTCCGCATGAACGTGAGCCCACTGAGGTCCAGCGGCGTCAGCGGCTGCAGCAGGCGCGCCGTGGCCGGCCCCTGGACGGCCAGCAGACCGCGCTCCAGCACCTCCACCGACACGTCCCGGCCCTGAGGCGCGAGAACAGCGGTCAGCGGTTCAGAACATGGCTGGATCAGTTTGACCCTTTTAGCTAATTTAAGAAGTCCGTAGCCATTTAAAGTACACATAGCAGTAAATTTTCAGTTACAGTTACGCTATAATCAGGCTCTAAAGAAGTCTCCCCATTTTTTCCCGCCGGCACGGACCTTGGCGCGCCACTCGGCGGCGCGGCTCTCCATCAGCGTCAGGTCCTTGTCGCGGCAGCCGGCGTTGGAGACCACGTAGAGCGGCCCCTCGGCGGTGCGCGACACGATCAGATCGTCCGCGATACCGCCCGCCTCCGTGGTAAACAGGCTGAGCGTGCCCGTGCCCGGCTGCAGGCCGGCCACGTCGGCCACCACCAGCGACTCCAGCATCGGCGCGGCGTCCGCGCCGTGGATGTGTACCTGCAGGAGGGCGTAACGGGCGTGTCAGAGGCGTGACGGGCATGCGGTGCGGCCACCGAGGAGTTGCGGACATGTGTCACAGACTTGGAGACACTAAAGAGGCAGATGACTATCAATAACTACTGGGATACATTAGTAAACCAGCACAGCATTTTTCAGTTTGATACTCCTGTATTTAACTTTTGTTTAATATTCTATAGCATCATACTGTATGTCAATTTCACAATGATTCAAAGAACAATAATTGAGCAAGTCATACCTGAAGCATGTGAGACACATCAAACATGCTGCTCTTGGTGCGAGTGTGCATATGGCTCTGAATAATTCCCTCTTTGCCATACATCACAGGCAGTGAGTAGCCAGCAAAGTCCACCATCTTGCCTCCATTTGCCACATGAAAGTCATAGAGGGGAGTGTGGTGTGCCTGTCTGAGAGCAGTCCCAAAGTTACGAGGAACTGCATAAGTAACAGTCCTTCCCAGAAGTGACAACATGATGCCTGAAACAGAATGATTTACCAGCACTGTCAGAGAGGAGAAATGTAGGCAGTCCAGGTCTGGTAGGGTTTCAGGTATAAGTAAGCCTGGCGTCCCAGGAAGATGCCAGATATCGTAGGTTGTAGGCTTGCAGGTTTGTAGGCTTGTAGGGTAGGTTTTAGCAGAGCTGGGCAAGTGCGTTCCTTTAGTGCGTTCCTGCGTTCTTCCGTACGTACGCACCGCCCTTTTTAGGAACGCAAGAACGCAGGAACGCAACGTTTTTCAAAGGAACGCAAGTAAGAGGAACGCACCACCCGAAATTTTGAAGCGTTCCTGCGTTCTTGCGGAACCACCCGAAAATTATATTGCTGCCAATGAACTCTGTGTCAAATGTTTGAATCTCGAGTACGTGTGTTTGCCGGTAGATGCGCCACTTGTCGGTCGAATCGAGGAAGGCTTGCTTAGATTTAGTGGTGATGTTTACTATTCGATTCGGTTTCAGGCATTAAATGTGTAAATATTTTTAGTGGTGATGTTTACCAGAGCTGGGCAAGTGCGTTCCTTTAGTGCGTTCCTGCGTTCTTCCGTACGTACGCACCACCCTTTTTAGGAACGCAAGAACGCAGGAACGCAACGTTTTTCAAAGGAACGCAAGTAAGAGGAACGCACCACCCAAAATTTTGAAGCGTTCCTGCGTTCTTGCGGAACCACCCGAAAATTATATTGCTGCCAATGAACTCTGTGTCAAATGTTTGAATCTCGAGTACGTGTGTTTGCCGGTAGATGCGCCACTTGTCGGTCGAATCGAGGAAGGCTTGCTTAGATTTAGTGGTGATGTTTACTATTCGATTCGGTTTCAGGCATTAAATGTGTAAATATTTTTGGTGGTGATGTTTACTATTCGATTCAGTTTCAGGCATTAAATGTGTAAAGTGAATATGATAACTTTTACTAAGATACATCTTTTAACTTAACTATTAATTTTAAGCAGGTCGTATTTTTGTTGAAAACCCTACGGATGATATTGGTAAAACGTATTTCAGATATTCGATTCGGAAAAGAGATGTCGAGTTGCTTTTCTGCCCCACGTCGCCATTCTGGGTATTCTGTGATCGATTCGCCCCGTGTTTGGTTGGGCCCGCGCCGCGTGGTTCGGTGGTATTTTTGAGGGAGGAACGCAGGAACGCAGGAACGCTAACGCACCGAGCCAAAAAATTTGAGGAACGCTATTCCAGGAACGCACTAACCGCGGCCGGAGGAACGCAGGAACGCTAACGCACTACCGAAAATCGAGGAACGCGCCCAGCTCTGGGTTTTAGGTTGGTAGGTTTGTAGGTTGGTGTGTCATAAGTGAATTCGTTTTGAGGACAGCGGCTAGGTCATGCTGATTTCAATTTGCTTTATTCTGTAGGTAAGGTAAGGTCAGGTCAGGTTAGGCTTGTTTTGGTCTATACCTATATCTGTCGTCACAATCTGGCATCTTCCTGGGATGTCAGGCTGACTTAAACTGATTTTTATTACTTTGAGAGAGAAAATTGCAATTTACATTCAATTCCAACTAATGTGAAAAAGGGCCTAAACGCTGCACCTTCAGATAAGTTTGAGAGCTGTGAATTCTTAAGTTCACTTAAAAATTCAATTTCTTTTCTTATTCTGTAGTAATTTGACCAAAAACACCCTCCCTGCATTTACATAGGGTTTGTTGCAAGCTTATATCTCCGTACATGATGTTGCAAAAGATGCCAATGGTGCTGAACAATTTACAAAATGATCCCCTCTAAATATCTGAAGACCACTGCATCGAAATTATCGCCAAATTAACGAGCTAGAGCCTCGTCAAATATGCTATGTAAACCGGTTCCTGCAGAGGCCTGTTGTAAGTTGAGAAATCCCAGGAAGAAGCGCACTGAAGGAAACCCCCAAAAGCAACACAAAAGAAACCAAAATGCAAACGAAACTGTAAGGGTGATATATTGACTGTAAGAATCTGTAAGAATGTAAAGAATCGCAATCTGTAAGAATCTTGATCGAAGCCAAAATGCACAAATTTGCCAGCCTGTTCAAAAAGCTCACTGGGTATGTTACAAATATGTATTTCCAAGCAACTTGAGGTATACTGCAACAACACTAGTTTGCTCGGAATTGAACAGAACTATTTTGAATAAGTTGCGGCATATATCGCAAAACTTTTTTAAAAGAAAAACAGACTAGTTCAGTGAGTGAGAAAAACAGTCATGCCCAAAATAACAACAAAAAACTTTTTGAAATAAGATATAAAATGACCAAGTCATGTCGTAACCTTAAATTTTAACTGGAAAGATATAAGTTTTGGCTCAAACGCGAGTAAAAAATTAGCAAAATGTTTGTGTTATAGTTCTGGGGTAATGTTAGATGACGCTTGTTGTTTGTGTACGCGTCGGTGTGTCACACAGATGGACGTGTGATTGCATATTTATTATTCATTTTGGAAGTGAAGTTAATAGTGATAGGCAGGTGTTATATTTCAATTTTGTCTGTCCCGTAGCTGATATCAAATTTGCGAAAGATGATTGAGCTTCCTGCATGGATCCCTACTCATATGGTATGTTGAAGCATTCAATCTCAATCTTCATGTTTTGGTTTGACCGGCTACTGTGTTCCCTTTTCTTAATTTTTGTCTGGTTTTCGTCATTTTCCTTTGTTGTCTGCAATGCTCTGATGATGCTTTCTCTGACCTTGACATCCATCTTTTCCCAATTTTTGTAATTCTTTCAAATTTGGTGCGTCAAGTGGTCATTTTGAGGACAGCGACTGGGTTATGTCTTGCTGATTTCAATTTGCTTTATTCTGGCTGTTCATGGGTGATGTCATGTGTATTATGATAATCCTGATATTATTCTTTTATAGTGAAACAAAAAATATACTTTAATTTTGAATTTTGATGCTTCTAACCGCAGCATCATTTCCTATATAAACTGAAGTTATTAAACTTGATTTTCATAAAATTTCAATTATTTATTTTATAAATTATCAGTACACTAAGTTTTGTGTGACCTGTATAATCTGACTCATATGTTGCTTACCTACAGGATTACGAGGGACAGAAATGGGCAGAGAGACTGTTCCAAGTCATCATAGTTCTGTTTGGAGTAAGTTGACAATTTTTTAGTGGTATTTTGCTTTATGATTGCCACTGTAAATGAGGTATATGGCCTGTATTTAGATAATACAAATACAGAATGCAGATATAGTTTTTTTCCATAATTAATTTTTGCATCTGTTCTTAAACCATACTGATACATACAATAACTAATAAGGCAGTATCATTCATTTATTAAATTTATAGAACATGTGCTATTTATCATGCTTACATTGCTCATATTTTGCTCCATGTCTTCCACCTTTATAACATAAAGAGTATGTTCATGTAAACACTGCTTCATTTATTTAGACATTTTACAAAGTCATTTTTCAAATTAAATTCAGTTTCATAGCTTCCAATGATGCTAAAGCTTTATCAATAAAGATGATGTTGTTGCTTTACCAGATGATGAGCTGATGCCCTCCATTTGCTCTTCCACAGGTTGTGGGCCTTGTCTGGGGATACTCCATCCAGCAGTTCTCACAAACCGTCTACATACTGGGCGCTGGTGTGGCTCTAGCATGCTTGGTGAGATAATAAATGTTGATTATTTTATTTGTTAAGCTCATTGTCCACACTCTTGACTGAAGTAAGCTAGTCCATTTCCCTTTTGGATGCAAGGGGAAAACATTCTGATTTTTTTTTTTAAAGCATAATGGTGAGGAGTGTTGAGTAAATTTGTGGTGGCACTCATATCATACACATCACTGGATACTTAAACTGTAAATAGCAATATTGGCACCATTTAATAATAACCCAATAGCCACCTCTAACTTCATCAACCAGAAGTTTATATTTTTGATACCACCTTTCTTGTTTACTAGAATGTGTTGGTTTCCCACTCTCATGGTTCAAAGGCAAGAGGTTACAGAGTCAAGACTCAAGCCTTCAGGCCTTTTCACCATATGTGTGTCAGTGATTTTTCTGCTTCCTTCGAGCCTCAGTCAGAGTGCATCCCTGCCACTCCAATTAGTTGTGTCTCAAGCCAGCTACCTCAGTCCCGACTGTCCCAAAATAGTAGTGCGCCGTCGAGCCTGCCTCCTGCTGTCCCAGGTCCATCCGGAGCGCGGCACCGGCCCCTCCTGCCGCCGACTGACCTCTGTGACCCGTGTTGCAGCTGACGCTACCTCCGTGGCCCATGTACCGGCGCCACCCGCTCAACTGGCAAAAGCCCAGATCCGCCTAGAGCGCAGACGCCTGCAAGGCCAAAAAGAAGAAATGGGGCGGTGAACGCTGCCGGGATCGGGCGTATATTGTTTTCATCATTCTGTGGTACGGGGACCGAGGGGCCTGGGTGTGGTTTTTGGTGTAGCTCACCGTGATGAGCGTACAGTCAGGCACCGAAGTGTGGCCGTTAGGCGGGTTTCATTTGTTCTCACAAAGCTGAAATCTTATTACGCGTCGCGTCGATGTGGTGGTAATAAAACATGATTTGTAAAACTATCGTCATATTGAATTATTCGCCTTTTTTCCAGCGAGCTTTGTTCCGATTTTAGACTACTTATCATTCCAACTGCCTCCGAGGAGTTTATCCGCAACAACAACAGCTGTTTGAAAACATATCGACGTGTCGACTAGGGCTCGGCGAGCCACATAGTTCGAAGTGTCACCGCGCGCTGCTAGTAGACGCGCAAGGACCATCAGTCAGTATCCAAGCACGAGTTGACACGGATCTGAGCTGCACATATAGCAGGGTGCGAGACACGGATGCCCTGTATTACATCAGGCCAGGCGCACGTCACATCAAATGGCACCTCTAGAAGCAGTCATGGACCAGTCAATGGTGAATTCATTTGTACCGCAATAATTTATGATTCGACGATGTGGAACCGGGCTTGTGTCGCTTACACGAAGGCCCCTTGCAGCTGAAACCAGTGAGAGACGGGGACTGTGTTGCCCTAGAGATTGAACGAACCGTGCAAACGCATCAATACATCCTAAACTAATCGAATAGAAGCGCACTAGCCAGGTATTATCAACCATGTCTATGAATCTACCGACGTACATGACACAGCAAGAAGAGTAACAAATACAATCGCTGAAAAACAAAAGCGCAAACGAGGCTCAAAAGCATCACACTTATGATCACAAACATAAACCATGACAGGACGCCACGGAAAGGTTCCTCTGCCTGGGAATTGAAGAAAAACAACGAAACGATCTCGATCCTCTTAGCTTGACCATCTGCCTACCTCAAACGTTTATCAACAAACGCAAGGGCGCATCGGCCAATTTTGCGAGGCAAGGCACTAAGTGCTGCAATGAATCCACACGGTGGGGGTTGGCTGTAGTCAGCTGTCGAGCGTAACATCACACAACACAGCAGTCTCTAGCCGCTGAGGCAGATGACTACCCAAGACACCGGGAGGGGAGGTGGCCGTTTGTGCGATACCCTTATCCGCCGCGCCGGGTGAGTCTGATCCGTCGCCGGCCGGGTGAGTCTGATCCGTCGCCGCGCCGGGTGAGTCCGGTCAGTCGGCCGGCCGCTCACAGGTCGTCCAGGAGGTCCTCTGCAGCCTCCTGTTCGGCCGCCTGGACCGCCTCCACTGCCGCCGCCGCCGCCGCGCCGCCATCGTAGAAGCGGGTCGCCTCGGCCTCCTCAGCGGCCGGGTGGGCGCTCTCGGAGGCCACGATCGGTCCGAGCCGGTCGGCGACCACGCGCTGCCAGACGGCCGGCCGCTCCGACAGCTGGCCGCGCGCCTCAGCCACCCAGGCGTTGTACGCGGCCGGCGACACGCCCCGGCACGCCGTGCGCAGCCGTCCGATCGCCGCCACCGTCTTCTCCAGCAGCGCCGGCCGCGTCAGCGACTCACGCACCAGTCGCGAGATGACCCGCTGCATCTGCGAGCACAGCTCGTCGAAGCGCACGTCGTCGCGTCGAAGCAGGACGTCGAAGTCTTCAGCCGGGTTGACGGTGCCCACCTCGGTGACTTCTGGCTTGATGAGGTCGGTGACGGTGGCTGCCGGGCCGGCCTGGTCGGGCGCGGCGGCGGCCGCCGCCTGGAACACGTCTCGACCGGTCTCGCGGCGCTGGTGGGGCAGCAGCAGCTCCGTCAGCGGACAGGCGGCGGCCACGGCGCGCAGGGCGTCCGGCGCCGCCAGCGCCGGGTCCGGGCTCAGCTGGCGCAGCAGATCGGCGTCCGGCGGCGGCAGAGGCTCGCCCGGGTGGAGCGCGCGCGCCGCCAGCACCTGGTAGAGCCGCTGGAACTGCGGGCTGAGCAGCGCACCCGGCTCCAGCCGCTCCGAGGCCTCCTCGGCCGCCGGCGCCGTCAGATCCATGGCGTCGATGAGCTGATCGACGGCCGACAGCGTCTCCTGAGGGACGGCCGTCGGCAGCGGAGGGAACAGCGGGTTACGCATGTCCTCTGCGAACGGCAGCTGCACCCAGACCAGACACTCGAGGTCGTGTCGGATGTTGGGCCGCAGCGCGCCGAGCCGCGGCGTGCCGCCGTTGTTGTAGGTGCGCCGTGCCACCGCCACCATGTCCGTCTCCTGGAGCGCGTGGATCAGCGCCGAGAGTGCCGCCTCTGCGCCGGTGTCGCCGCGCCGCGCCACCACCTGCACCGTCTGCGTGTCCTGGTACAGGTGCGGCCCAACGTTGGAGGCGGACGTAAAGCCCAGGACCTGGATGGAGCGAGGCGCGCCGCTGCGGTACTCGAGCTCCTGCTGGTCCAGCCGCGAGAACGGCACCAGCGTTGTGCCGTACCGGTACGCCCGCTCCGTCTCCTCGAACGGCACAGCCGAGCGCTGCTCGTCCTGGCGCTCGTACGTTGTCCGCCGCTTCACCGGCGCCGGCTGCGGGCCGGCCGCCAGCTTACGCCACGACGGCATGGTGACCTTCTTGATCTGGCTGTAGCCGGTTATGTTGATGGAGAGGCTCTCGCCGATCTGCAGCGGAGCGTTCCACGGCGCTGCGCGCGACTTCCGCTTGTGGAAGAAGAGCAGCTGCGGCAGCGCCTGCTCGAAGGTGAAGAAGCCGCCGTCGACGGCGCGGATCAGCTGCACCACGGCCGACTCGCCCTCGAGCTGCTGACGCGTCTTGGCCTTGCCGTCGTGCCGGTAGAGCCCGCGCGCGCCGGACGGGCCGGGCCGCGGCTCGCCGCCGCCCAGCGCCGACCCGTCCTCGGTCTTCATCTGCAGGTCGTCGGCGGGCTCCGTCTTGCCGGTGGGTTTCAGCTGCATCTCGTCACTACCGTCGGTGGCCAGCTCCGTCCCGATGGCCATCAGGTCCACATCGTACTTCCTGAGTCCGGCCTTGATGGCATCCAGCTGGTCGGTGCACAGCGGCCCACCAAAGTCGGTCAGCAGCACGATCCGGCGCTGCTGGTACTTGTGCGTGCGGATCATCTCGACCAGGTGGTCGAGCGCCACCACCAGGCCGTCCAGCCAGTCGCCCTGCGCCTCCGTGGCGTGCAGCCGGTCCGGGCTGAGCATGCGCACCAGCGGCCAGTCCACAGGCGCCAGCCGGCGCGCCAGGCTCACGTGCTGGTACTGGTCGGCGTCGGCGTCCGCCAGGCGGTTGTCACTCTCCTCTGAGCCCACCACCACCACGGCCATGTGATCCTTGTTCTTGTCCTCGAATAGCTTCCTCTGAGCAATGCGGTCACAGCACAGCAGGGCTGTGTCAATGAAGGTGGCTCCTCCATCAGCACACAGTGTTCCAGTGGAGGGTCCCACATCCAGCACGATGACCAGTGCCTCCATTGTCAATCAGCTCAGCAAAGATTACTTCTGCAGTACTTGAGCCATACACCTGAAAGAGCACAATATATGTAACATTAGCTTATCTGTCCTAACCTAAGGCTCATCTCAAATACAGGCATAAAGGTGTTAAGGAGGAATGTAAATCTTTTCTTCAATAAGAATTCAGAGCCTATGAAATAGGAAAAGCTTGAAATCAATGGAAGATAATTTTCTCCAAATGCAATAAGTATTTTCAATAGAGTCCACTAGAAACTAAAAAAATAGTAAGTGTTGGCTGAAATGGCCACTGCCTTCCACATAGAGCATGGAGATATAACTATTTAAATTGAAATTTTATCAAAGAAGATGAAAAAAACATCAAATTTTTTTGCACATCAGCAAATTTATAATGTTGGGCCTTTTAAACAACTGCCTTCCAGCTAAAGCCAAGAGTTATACATTTTGTAATTGAAATTTGATCAAAGACGATGAAAACATAGCAATTTCTTTGTCAATCAACACATTTATAATGCTGGGAATTTAAGCTATTTGTCACAACATCTTCAAGCTCAGGACACAAATAAGTAGTAAACACTTTTAAAAAGGTTATCTCAAAGCAATATAGAGGGTCATCGATCTATTTCAATTAAACTTTTAAGCACAAGCACCCACCCACACCATGGATCAGGATAACATAACTAATTGTGGCCTGTGCACCCAGTATTCACTAACAACTAAAATTGTCAATGTGGCGACATGAAAGCAGCAGGAGCACCAAATGTAACTTATTTATATGCAATGCATCATAAAAACAAGATTATACAGGCACAATGCGATTCCCAATTCAATTATCTGAGCGAGTCGGCACAGTCGGCACGGTCGGCCCCGACGTGTTCCATCCTGCACCTGCACGACTTCTCTTCAATTCAAGACAAACCAACAGCAACAAACAATCAATATTTTCCATCACCTGAAAAATATTGAGCAATATCCAATATCACCAATATTTAATTTATATTTTTATATTTGCAACACCTCGAAAACATCCACAAATTGTCAATTGATCAACAATTTTTTGGCTGACGGCGTGATTGTTTTGTCAAGGCTGCGCATCTATTGTCTACTTTTGTGCCATCAATGCTTTTTATAATGCTTTTAATTTTCACCATTCAAATGCAATTTGCAAAACACATGCCCTTGCCATTACCGGACGATCGCCATGTAAAAATAGCAATTGCGTGCAGGGCCAGTTTTTACAGGTCATGTTTTATATAACTAGTTACAGATGTTTTATCGATTCTCTGGCTCCACACTCCGCGCTGCTTCAAAGCTGGGCTATATTTGGGCGGTTTACCTTTGGCTTTCTGATGTAGGCCATATCACAAACTATTTTTTTTACTCGCCTCCAACCCCTATGATCTGTCCTCAGGGAGCACTAATTAGTAATTCTCAATCCTCCTGTCCCACTCTGGACGGTCACATCCATCCGGCTCGAGAAGCTCCTTCCTTCCAATACGGTGGCCAGTGGGGTCACCGTTGGCGGAGCTGGGCGGCCTGGCTAGGACGGACTCAGCATCAACGGAGCACCAGGCACAGGGTGGCCGCACAGGCACAGACCAATAATTTCTTACACCTTTCCGGCTCCGAAAAAGTGTCATTAGACCGAAGGGGCCAAACACAGCAGTCTTTGGCACAGAAACCCTAAATCGGAACATCCCAGATCAGTCTCTTCTCCTCAACGACCATCTTAGCATGTAACAAAACATTTGTCGTATCATTAATAACTGCACTCCTGGCTTAAAAAATAACGAAACAAGGGTCATCAGAATCCCGTCCTGTATTGTCCTGACGATGGAACGTATTGGCCTCCATAGCACGGTACAAGACGGTAGCACGAGCTCCGCATCGGAATGCAGAATGGAAAATTGGTCATCACGATACGCATGCCGCTCAGTTCGGAAGGTACCGCTGTATAGGAGACGGGTACCTACCGCCCAGTGACAGCGCGCTACAGCCTGCGGGTCATCTCAGGACGGCGTAGAGAGGACAAACAGCGTTACACACTGATGAGACACACAGTTCACGAAGGCAGCGAAAGGCACCCCCGTGTGGCACAGGCACTGGAAAAGGCAGATATCGGTGGACGGAGGCACACTTTGTACCTGAGAATGGTAACAGCGCCGACCGCAGCGAGCCAAAAATGGACAATACGTCACACGACATAACATGAATGTAAAAATAAGCAGACATCATTCATGATAAAAATGCAGCACTGTCATAAAGTACGATACAAATATGGAAAAAAATAATGGAAAAAGATCTACGTCGAAATCTCAAGAGGTTCGTTGTTGTACTGATCTACGAATTACATCGAGTTAAAACAGCGCGTCACAACACAGTACAAAGTTAGAACAGTCAATGGTTAAGTACATAGACAAGTACATTGATAAATACATGGGTAAATGGGTAAAGCTGCGCTCCAGCAGCGCCGTGTCGCCCGCTCGGCAGTGGAACAGATCTGAGCCACCGGGTACTCGGATGGCACTCTTCAAACATTCACACTCCGTCACACATACACACGCTCACACACACTCACAGCTGATGCGCTGGAGTCGGGCCGCTGGGACCCCGCTCTGGCTCGACACACCACTGCGGGAGCGCTGGCGGCCCTCGGCAGCCTCCGACGACTTCCAGCCGCCCTGGGGCGTCTCAGACGTGACTGCCGGCCGCCGAGGGGCGCTGCAGCGGGCCCGGAGCGCCGGCCGCCCTGGGGCGTCTCAGACGTGACTGCCGGCCGCCGAGGGGCGCTGCAGCGGACCCGGCGCGCCGGCCGGCCGCCGCCAGTGCTGCTGCTGGGACAGGCCGAGCGGCGCCGGCCTCAGCCGCGGGTCGGAGCCGCCTGACGAGGGCACGCCGACACCACCGGCACCTGGACGGCGGCGGAGGGGGGGGGGGGGAGTCAGATACCACTGTACTACACGGCGGAGGCGGACGGACGGCCAGCACAGTTTGGACTGAAAGTAAGATAAAACTGCATCTCGTACTGCATAACATGATTGGTCAGGCTACACCGCGTTGTATTTACATACGAACAACTCATTGTCGGCCACACAGCTTACGGTGCAAAAGGCCTCAGCTGTGTTGTCTCAATGCGCTTATCTCTTTTCTACAAACTCTCAGAATCCTCCCCTCCTACCCCTTTACATCCTGTCCACCGCTTCCCCCATCCCCACTCCCTCTCCCGTGTCTTACCGGGACCGATGGCCGGACCGGATCGGCTGCGCTCGTGGTGACGGGGCAGCGAGTGGTCACCGCCGGACCGCGCCGCCGCCGCCGCCGCGGCAGCAGCCGCCTCGTGCTCGTAGTAGCAGCTGGTGGGCCGGTCGGTCGGCTCGGCCGGGTGGCGGCCCCGCTGGGAGTGGTACTGCTGCTGCTGTCGGCTGCGCGGGGAGGGGAGCGGTCAGGGCTGCGGGCGGGATGTCCGAGCCAGCAACGATTAGATGTTTGAACGGAAGGGTTGCTATGAACCTCGTCTGGCGAAATAAAGGAGACGGTTCTAAAAATGCCTAGAATTACTAGCCTCACTTATTTACTGAAGCTCTATTTCACAAATCATGACAATACACATGAACACAGATGCTTTCCTGACTCCAGCCCACGTCTAGTTAACGGTTAGTTTTCACCACACCAATAATTGTCAAGCCAAGCAGCTGTCATTCACCACCCCTCCCGCGTCCCCCGTTGGACCGGGCTCGCCGGCGCTCACCTCAGGTGGTGTCGGATCTGCTCGTAGTTGGCGTAGTGGCCGTAGCGCTGCCGCTCGCCGCCGGACGCCGAGCCCGGCCGGGCCGGCTCGCCGTCCGGCGGCGGGGGCGCCGGTCGACCGCCGGCCGAGGGGCGCCGCGAGCCGCTGCCGGGCGCCGGGTACACCCACTGACCGGCCCCGGAGGACGGAGGCCACGGCTCGGCCGGGTGCGCGCGCACGTCCGAGACCGGGTAGCCGCGCGGCTCCGGGTGGCTAGACGAGTACCCTCGCGGGTCGGCCGACCCGTTGGGATACCCTCTCGGGTCAACCGCACCCTTGGAGTACCCTCGGGGGTCCGTCTGGGTACCGGGGTACCCTCGCAGGTCGGCCGGCCCGCCGGGGTACGCCCGCGGGTCGGACGGATCGTGGTAGCCGCGCGGCTGCGACTGGCCGAAGTGGGACTGACGCGGCTCCGATGGGCCGCCCGGGTGGGACCGGTAGCCGCGGGGGTCGGACGGGTCGGCACTGGGTACGGCCGCGCTACCGCTGTGGGGCTGGTGGGAGGGCGGCGCCGGCCGGCCCCCGTCCTCACCCAGCTGAAAACGAACAACACAGAGGTCAGAAGGAACTAGCGTCACAATACAAAACAAAGGAATGATACGAAACCCAAAATAGCAATGGTTGGACTGTTTGGCTGTTTGAACGACTCAAATATGTACCGAAGGCATAACACACACTATTAGAACCCAGCTCGCAGACCATGGTACCCCTGTCCCGCTCGGCCACCTACCCAGGAGTGGGGCGGCGGTCCGGCGCCCTCGTGTCCTCGGTGCCGCGGTGCCATGGGCGCCGGCCGCGGGTTTCGGAAGTACTCGCTGCTGCGGGCGCCCTGCGCGCCGCGCACGAACCCCGCCGGCGGCACGTTGTTGTTGATCTGGTCCGACAGATGAGGGCCGGGCGGCTTCCCCGGGTGGACCTGGAATACCGAGTGGGCAGCCTGCGGCGTCAGCACCCAAGAACGCTCACCTTCACACGCGCAGGTGTATCTCTGATACGTAAGCAGCGTGGTGTATTAGCGGCTGTGGGCGATAAGCGGACGTAGCATGAGTGCTCCTGACACACCTTAACCCACCAGTCTTGTCTGCTGTTCAGTTCGACTCAAATTTACCTCACCAATAATTCGACTGATCAGTGTCTAATCTGTTGGCTAGTATCATGTGTGTTCGATTATCGCCTGCCCCTCTCTACCCACCTGTCTGAGGTGCTGTTCGGCGCGCTCCTCGGCCGCCTCCGTCACGTAGACCCCGTGCCGCGTGGCGTGCCGCCTCTGGTGCTCCTGCCGCAGCTGCACCATCCGCTCGGCGCGGCTGGGCGCCCGCTCCTGGCCGGCGGCCGGCGGCGGCGGACCGGCCGGCTGACCCTGCGACGGCTGAATGGGATAGAGAGCCGGTCAGCCAGCACACACACGGTACACGTAAACTGGTGCTACAACACGGCTACAAAATTGGCACACTGCTTAACAAACTAAACTAAGCAAAACACACAATGGACTATACTGAAAACTTCACGTCAACTAAGGTGCATGGCCGGTAAATTAACAAACGCGCTGACAGCGGAAGAATAAAAGATACCCACATTTCCACACCATGAAAAAACTATAATTCCCAAAAGTCTTATGACTCAACAGCACCATCGCAAGTCGTTATGCACCCACAGAACCCTTTCCCACAATCCGTCCCGCGCCCAGTCCCGCTGCTCTCCCCGGTTCCACTGACCGGCGCGTGGGTGATCCGCTGCTGCTGTGACTGCGACTGAGACTGGGGCTGGGGCTCGGCAGAGGTGGTCCGGACTGGTGGCACTGGCTCACCCTGATCCTCCGATCGGCGATGCTTCCCGAACCTAGGTAACGGGACGGAGATAGATACAGTGAGAACAGTGACAAGTACAGCGATCAGTGATCAGACAAATACAGAAATGATTAGTGACACGACTCCTGCCTGTCAGACTGATCAAGGGTTGATGTGTTAAATTAACCGGCCGAGTAATTCCGGAAGACTGCCAAAATGGAAAGGACAGTACAGGGGCATAAAGTCTTTTCTTGTCATTTTTTGCTCACCGCAAATCACATAACTTAGCAATCAATGTGCCAAAGACGTCACTAAAGCTTCATCAACATCACGAAACTATGACAGAACTACCACAGAGTTTGCCACCACTCACTTGAACATGCTGCCGAGTCCTTTGAGCAGTCCGGAGCGGCGTTTGCCCTTTTTGTCCTCGACCACCCCTGAGCTCATGGAGCTCTGTCGGGCGGCGGCGTCCCGGCTGAACGCTCCTTCTCCTCCGGCGCCGGCCGACTCCTCGTCCACTAGACAGGCGACAAAGCCGGCGTCAGCCGCCACGGCCACTGACGACGCCGCCGACACCAGAGAGAGGGGAGAGAGGGGGCGGGGCGGAGAGAGAGGGAGAGCGGGGGCCAGTTAGAGGGCGGGCGACATGCAGTGCGGCGGAGACCAGCCACCGGCGGCCGACAGCCCCCGCAGTGTCACCGTACCCCGCCAGGGCACTGTCACAGCGTGCAGAGACGTGTCAGCACGGACAGTCAGCGGTGCATCGAAAGTGACCGGTAGCCGCTGGTGAACCGACGTCCATGTAAGCACGCTAATGAGTTGAGTTGCAGTATAAATCCCAGCAACCGTTCAACTTCAACCGTAGCCGATCTAGTGGACTCTGAGCTTAATCTTTGCAGTAGCAGGTTTGAAGGTAACACGAAAAAAGTCATAAATGCCTCAACATTGTGAGTTTCATAATCGCTTTGAATCCCAACATATTTCAGAAAAAAGATCTGACCAACTGCGTTGAGCCAAGGACAACGTGCTCGTACAACATGAAACACGGACCACGCTACGAAAGCCAGGCTTCCAATGCGAGCGACACGCTGAACAACTAATGCCTATTTGATTGGCTGCTTTTAATAAGATTTTCATGCCAAATGCAAAGCACACAAACGATTTGAAAACATGCACATGCTCACGATAGCTTCATGCATCATCAGCAGGAATCGGCAGTGATTTTTTATCACGGAACACGAAACGTCGGAGGCTATGAGCTCGCACTGGTTCATGCTCATGCACAAGCACGGTTTTAGCGGACGACAATCAAATGGTGTATTGCAAACATCGTAATAATTTAGTTCACATTCATTTCCGAGAAAACAATACATAACATAAAAACGAACTACGCACGCATAAAAACCAAATGAAAACAAAACAAAATAAAATAAGTATTCAATGAAACATGCGAAAAATACAGACTCCACGTTACCATGTTCTCGTATCAACCTAGCCTGCGAACCAGTGTTCTGCCCTCACCTGTTTTCCCTCCCGCTGACGAACTGCTATTCCGTCCCTCCCTCCGGCCTCCCTCTACATAGCTCTCTCACTTACCTGAATGTCAATCACGTTCCTATCTCCCTACCGGCTCCCTCCTGTCCCTTCCACTTGTCTCCACTGAAACCTATCGTTCCCTATACCTCCTCTCCCTCTCCCACTCACAGGTTTCCATTCTGTCCCAGTCTCTCCCGTCCCTCTTCCACTCACGGGTCTCCATGCGGTCTCGGATGGCTCCCAGCGGCGCCTCGTAGCTGCGGTCCACGGCCGCGCGGAAGCTCTCGTTACAGCCGCGGCCGCGCCCGGCTCCGGCCGGCCCGCGCGGCTGACCGTCCTCCGCCAGAGCCAGCTGAGAACACCGCGCCCGGACAGTGAGCGGCCGCGCGGCCAGAGACGGGTGCAGGGGACGGACGGACACGCTCCGCAAATAGCACATAGAAACACCACGCAGTTAAACACGTCAACAAACACACATCAAACACACACAGAGACGGGTTAACAGTAAAAAAGCAAACCCAAGCAACATATCACACCCACACAAATTAGCCGGCAGGGCCGTATTGCCAACATCGCCTAGTCTCGAGGTGTCCTGAGCCGCGTTCATTGGTCTTACCTCGTGTACCATGGTCTGTAGCGACTCCAGACTGGAGGACTTCTTCAGACCCAGGCTGGGACCCACCATTTCTGCACAACAGAAAACAACCCGGTGTAACCGCACATATACCAACTGAATGAATACGACGTGCAATGAAACAGCTCAGCTGACAGACTGAAACCGGCATATTTACAGTCAACATATATTTGGTCAAGGGTGAGCATTCAAGCGACGACAATAACTGTGCCCCCCCGCCCTGAATCCCTCTCAATGCACCCTGACTAACCTGCCCTCCGCCGCTCGGAAGCCTCCTGGAGCCGCAGCTCGGCCTCGATCTGTCTCCGCTGCGCCTCGCGCTCCTCCCGCGCCCGCTTCGTGCGCTGGTACGTGTCCGTGCTCTTGGCGTCCTTGGAGGCGTGTCGTTTCTCGCTCATCGACTGACGACCCAGCTGGTCGCGGGTGAACCCCACGCCGGCGTGCTCCAGCGACGTCCTGGCGGGTGGGGAGAGAGACATTTGTTTTATAATGACGAGCATGAATACATAGGGTGAGATAACGGGCGACCTTTTTAGCTAGTTAGGACTTTGCGGAGTTTTTTTATACATAAAATGTAGCCAGAGTAATTTTTTAAATGACGGATTCCAATTTCCCTGTATCGTTCATAGCTCATTTACAATGGTAGCTGCACGAGTGCACGCATCTGATCGTGCAGCTTGATAAGCGAGTGATAATCAAGCCCCTCGTAAATAAGGAGCTGCATGCTAAAAATCGTACACCATCCTGGCAACCATTAATCTATCACTCACTGGCTGGCGTAGGCGCAGTCTGCCGTGACAGTACCAGTGGCAGCGGTGGTGCCAGCGGTGTTGGTGCCCGTCTCAGTAGCCTGGTGCCGCCCCGGCGCGCCGCCGCTGGTGCTGGTGCTGCCAGTAGTGTCCAGCAGGTGGTGCTGTATCGCCGACGCGTCCCAAGTGTCGTGTGTCGCCTGGGGTGGAGACGTAACGAGATGTGAAACGAGGAGCTCTAACGAGGGAGGCAACGTTAACGACGCTCGAGGCATGAAGCAGACCGGGACCAAGCTGCTCTTGGAGAAGGAAACACCTTAGCTGAAGGCGTGCCACGTTTAAAGGTCACTAGCGTCGTTTCCAAGTGACCAACTCGAAGAGATACCGGTAGAAAGGCGGGTAGGTCCAACGGGATATCACATGCCGATTAAAAACATCACCACATAGATTTTAGGGCCGGATAAAACACAGTCACCTTACCTAACGACAAACTCAGTAACAGACCGTCTGACCCGAACACCCACCCTCCCTTCCCACCCTGCCCTCCCCCGCCGACTGACCCGGTAGTAGCTCTCGTTACGGATGTTGGCCCGGCTGGCGGGCTGCCGGTCGGGCCGGGCCGGTATCGGCGGCGGCGGCGGCGGCTGGCGGGCCACCACCGTCACCTGCGAGTCCTCGCTGAAGGCCGACTGGTCGCCGGAGCCGGCCGCCCGCCAGCCGGCCGACAGCAGCTCCCCGGACGAGTTGGAGAGCATGCTGGCCACCGAGTCGCGCCCGCTGACGGCCGACGTCATGTTCTCCGGCCGGCGGGCCACCGTCAGAGTGATGACGCCCGGCTTCGGACCCTGCGAGCGGCGGAGGTGGGACGGAGTCAGTGGCTGGCACAGACGGAGCACTGGGCACAAGAGGGACGGGTCAAAGAAGAGCATCACTAGTCACAGACAATGGGGCATTAGGAAAAGACATTATGTTCGTGCCTGAATACGGAGAGAGATATGGGATAGGGACCTTTTAGCCCTCATGGCATATATGATAAGTGGATCCTGTAATTCGGTACGAAGGGGAGAGCCACCCTATCGCACTGAAGTTACGCGGCAAGGCAATACACACATTTAACTGCGCTCACTGCATTGCGTTCCCATATTCTGCCCGCGTCTCACCTCCTGGCACATGGCCCTGCGCAGCGTCTCCATGGCGTCTGTGTTGCTGAGGCCGAGCAGCGGGCTGTAGTTGACGTCTATCAGCTGGTCATCCCGCCGCAGACGGCCGTCCTTGCTCGCCGCCCCGCCGTGGATCACGCTCTTGATGTAGATACCGACATCGAGCGGACCAGAGCGGCTCGCGGTCGTTTTACCCTTCACGCTGATACCTGAATAGGGAGAACGAACTCCGTTAGACTGGTCATCAAACAATGACAGTTGAGCGTTTGAGCATAACAGGAGAGTGAGCGGTCCCTGACTTCACGCTGCCAGCCAGATTCCACACATCACTTTGTAGTACACTTCCTAGCTGCTTTATGATCGTCTTACCGCATGATGCGGCTTGACGTGTAATGCAAGGCTCCAAGCTTGGTACAGCTGTGAATATACGCGCTGCTCACATCGAACTTATCGTATTTTAGCCAGCCCTCTGAGCTGCGCATTCCTCACACAAAGAGTCGCGTTTGCTTACCGAGTCCGGCGCGCTCCGAGTCGTGCACGGGGATGTCGAACACCAGGACCTCCTTGTCGTGGCTCGGCTCCGACTCGTACTCTGTCTCCCGCTGCTCCGGCGGCTGCGGAAGGGACGGCCAAAGGGGTCAGTGACACAGGACAAACGGTGACGCTCCACTGTCACTGACATCAGCTAAACGCTTCCTTCATACACACTACACAGGTTCGAAAACCGTCAAAGACAAGAAAACTGAATGCCTGTATTGTTTGCCAATTCCCAGAGGCAATAATTATAGCGTGCACTGCTGGCAGGTATCATGTACAGTGCAGTATGAACGGTACAGTTAGGGGGACGAGTGACAGCAAACTAGCTCCTGACCACTCGTGTCACAGCGCTACAATAAACTCATGCCTACTGGGTAGCTTCAGTCATAATTCAATAGGAAATCATAGCAGTTGATTAAGTCAGTCAAGGGTCTCTCCAACCAGCATCAGAGCAGAGTTCAGTACAGTACCGAGACATTGTGCTGAGTAAGTCACCCTTCCAGTCAGTCTTTTGCCCTCGACAGGCAGTCAGTCAATACCCAAAGTCGGCTCATTAAACCCCATATTCCCCGTCAGCAGATAATTCTGAGGGCATTGCCATCCACCGTCTCCATTCACCCGGTCGATTCCTGCTGAGAGGAAATAAGACCTTAATGCCACCGAGGCTCTTAACCGTCCACTGCTGGGGTCACCCACCATCCACGCAGCCAGTAGTTAGTATCCAGGACTACATAGTCAGTAAATATACGAGCACACATTTAACAGTTTCCCAGCCCCCAACATCGTCAGTCCTTCGTCCCCGGTTAGTCACCAGCCGCCGTCGTCAGTCATGCAGTAGCAGCAGTACCTGAGCAGAGTGTGTCAGACGGTCGAGGTCGCCGGTCGGCTGGGGCGGCGTCTGGGGCAGCGTACACGTCACACGTCAGGGTAATAAGGGGGACGCTACCGAACACTGGAGTCTCGTTTGGTGTGGGTTTCCGTAGGTGATGCGAAAGATGCTGGGGACTAGCTATTGACAGCATTCACTACGTCCGTCTCGCCTAGGTACCGTGTTTTTGTAATGCCCTACCCTGCATACAGCTGCACTAGGTACAACACTTTAGGCATACGTTTAGTTCACTCTTTCAGCGCCATGCTTCTGCTCCTCCAACAGTGTCGACCCCAACCCAAACTCCACCAACGTTTATCTATGTACAAACAGGCGCCTTTCCACGCCTCTCCCCCGCCCTGCTCACTGACCAGCGGCCGGGGCAGTCGCGGGCTGGCGTCCTCCCGCGGTTTGGCCGCCCCGCCGGCCGGTGTCGCCGCGGTGCCGGCGCCCTGTTCGTCCTGCTCGTGCCGCGATATGACCAGCTGGACCGAGTGACCGGGCGGAACGGCGCGCAGCGTCTGCACCACCTGCTGCTGACTGAGACCGGCCATCGGCTGGCCGTCAATCTCCAGCAGACGGTCCCCGGGCCGGAGTCGGCCGTCCTCCACCGCAGCGCCCTGAGATAGACAGAGACAGAGACAGGGAGTCAGACACAGACACAGACAATATGTAGACAGTAGACGGTCCCCGGGACGGAGACGGCCGTCCTCCACCGCCGCGCCCTGAGAGTGTGAGACAGACAGGGAGTCAGATACAGACAATACAGTCGGTCCCCGGGACGGAGTCGGCCGTCCTACACCGCCGCGCCCTGATACAGAGACAGGGGGTCAGATAACAGACACAGACAATACAGGTAGATCAGGAGACAGACAATATAGACAAGTAGCGGTTGCATTGTGAAAAACCATCGCGACACGTAGATAATCTTGTCCACAGCCACTGCATTTATCGGCTCGCAAACGTATTCTGGCCCATTTCTATTTATAAGTCAGCGCTCACCGAAAGCACCACCCTCCCTCAAACAGCGCTCCCCTCCACACCTCACACCTGTGCCAGTATGTTCTTCACATAGACGGGCGCGTGGCCTCCTGCCGGGTTATCCCGTGTCGTGACACTGAACCCGAGTCCCGCCGCTCCTTTGGCCAGCGTCACAGTCAGTCGGCGGCCCAGTTTGCGTGTGTTGGACGACTGGATGACGCTCTGGGTCCGAGACGACAGCGACACGGGTTTCTTGGTGGGTATGACGGTGGCCACCCGGGATCCGCCGGCGAGCGCCGGGCCGGCGGACGGAGGGGGGTCGGCCGCGCCCGGCTCCACCAGCAGACGCAGCTGGCCCGCTGACATGGCGCTCAGGAATATCTCCTGCGCCCTGGGGGAGGAGGGCTGGACGGTCAGACCGACAGCAAAGATGTCAGGGCGAAAATCGTCGCCACTTTAAGACAAGTTTAGTTAAAAACCACTGTGCATATAAACATAAAGTATAGGCTACGGAGCGCACAGACCATTGAGATTGACTGATATGGGCGTAAGACACATATCAAGGTGTAATGCAAGCTACATTCATTCTCCGATACACACCAGGACAGAAACAGCAGCTGTCACTATATGGCTAACAATACAACTACCAGACATGTCATATTACGAGCCTAAGGCACACAACTTCCCTCCCCCCACACCATCCCCTCCCTCCGCCGTTTGGGACCCCACTCCACCCACCTCTGGAAGCTGATGTTCCTCAGGCTGTGTCCGTTGATCTGCACGATCCGGTCCCCGACGGCCACCCGTCCGTCTCTCTGTACGGCGCTGCCCGGCTCGACACGCTGTACCAGCAGGCCAGAGTCGCGGCCGGAGCCGTCACAGTCCGGCACCACGTGCATGCCTGGACATAGCGCGAGGGAGGGGTCACTGTCCGGTATCACTTAAATTGCATTACTATAGGTACACGGGTGGCACGTACCGCAAGTGTATGCCTGGCTTCGGGACAGCGCAGGAATCAATAGAATAATGGCTAGCCAGGTGGGCATATGGCGTGACCCGTGTGTCAAAAGCATGAAATCTCCAATCTCCACAATCTTTCGACACAAGTCCTTAAAACTTGAGCCGAATAATCATATCACCCTACCCACCCAGTCATGGCACCTAACCGCCCTGTGAGCCCACTGTCACGCCGGGCGGGCGAAGGGAAGGAAACTCGAGAGGTCGGAACTCAGCACCCACCGAGCGGTCCCGATACGTCAGTCAGCACCACCAGCCGCGCCGGCTGCTGCTGCTGCTGCGGGGGCAGCTCGTCGCCGTCGTCCCCGGAGCCCTCCGGTGACGGGTTGGCGCCGACCGGCTCCCAGCGGCGCTCCTGGAGGTCGGCCTCCTGGAGCCGGCCCGCCGCGTCCGCCCATCTGTGGATAACACGGCACATAGTGGTGAGCGGAGAACCATAACGACACAGAGATGGGATGCAGACACTGGTCACTGGTCAGCCCCTGCAGCCGGCCGGACACGGCCGCCCACCTGCAGACGGTAATCATACTCTATAAGCACTGCAGAAGAAAACTAAAAATATGCTTTAAAAACTCATTACATCCTCTGGCTATTTGTACTCTAAACAACGAAATATACTGAAAACTTGCCTTGAATATAATAATTCAAATGCTATCTAATTTCAATATTATGCAATTTATTTATTTATTTCACATCGTGACTGTCCTTTCCATCATACAATGGCTGTTCTTGGCAGTCGTGTCCAATAATCACGGAATTGGGAATCGTATGCACATCATTCAGGACAGACAAACAATATACGACCATACAGCGTGTAAAAATATACCTCATCATGCAGTGTTCTTCTTAAACAGGGAGAACTAGTCATCGCCATACTGTTCCCTCAGCAGCATCGCCCGGTACTCCTTCTTAAATCTGTGCAGGCCTAGCTCGCGGAGTGCTGCTGGGAGGCTGTTATACATGGTCACAGCGCTATACAGAAATCGACGGCGGCCGGCCTCCGTTCGGATCATAGGCGTGTCCAGATGATCGGCTTGTCGAGTGCCGCGGCCATGCACGCTCCCTCGACACGCTATACTAGCACGCAGAACCTCGGGCTGTCCCGTGGCGAGCATCTTCTTCAGCAGCATGACTGATTGAAATCGCCACAAGTTCTCAGCTGAGAGCCATCGCAGTTCTCTCATGACGTCACTTATATGATCGAACTTTCGGCGACCCGAGACAACGCGAGCGCCGAAGTTCAACAGCCTCTGAAGCCTACTGGTCTGCGTGACACCGCAGACACCGTAAACACTGATGGCGTACCGAATCGTTGACACAGCCAAAGCCTGCACGAGCGTGACTAGCGTGTCCCTGGGTAGGTAGTGTCTGGTGTGGCAGAGGCCACTCAACACTCCTGTACAGCGGCGCACGACCTCGGATACGTGAGTGTCAAACGACAGGTGTGCATCAAATGTGACGCCAAGGTTCTTCGCCGTCGGTGACTGCTCTATGGTGGCGCCCATAAAATCGACCGTGATGGGTGGAAGTTGCCGTGTGTTTTGGCGTGTGCCGATGACCAATAATTGAGTTTTGTCTGCGTTAACTTTGAGACCGTTTTTACGAAGCCAAACTGCGAGCGCTGCTAAATTTTGCTCCATGCACGCCACCAGAGCGTCAGCGTCCCGGGGGCTACCGAACACGGCCAACTGAGTGTCATCACAGTACTGCACTAGACACGTGGCATGCGAGACACTCTCAGGCTGAAACAACGGCATGTCATTTGCATATGCACTGTACAACAGGGGGCCCAAGGCGGATCCCTGGTAGGTGCCAATGGGGTTGGCCAATGGTTGAGAGAGCATGCTACGACCGTCCGGTGTCCGCGTCACAACCTGTTGAAAATGGTCACCGAGATAGCTAGCAAACCAGCGAGTATCGACACCATACTGTTGGAGTTTCTCCAGTAGCCGGTCGTGAGGGATGACGTCGAAGCATTTGGACAAGTCCAACATGCACAGCAACGCCACCTGCCTCCGGTCCATCGCCTCAAACATCCTGTCAGTCATGGTGAGGAGTGCTGTCTCTGTCGAGTGGTTTGTGCGGAACCCGTGCTGACATGTGGAGAAAAGGTGATGTTCGGTGAAGTAGGAATAGAGCTGCTCATAAACGATTCGCTCTGTGATTTTGGCTATAGTAGGAAGGATAGCTATGGGCCGGTAGTTTGAAGTGTCAGTGGACCTGGGGCTCTTTTGGATAGGATGGATTAGTGTCATTTTCAAGGTCGCGGGACTGTGTGAGAGGCCAGACTGGAATTAATAATATGTGTTAGAACATGTGACACAGCTGGGAGACAAGACTTTATAAAGCGCACACACAGGCCATCTGCACCACTCGCTGAACTGTTGCTCATAGCGGCGACAGTGCTGACTACTCGCTCCGGTGTAATATGCATATCTGCTATCCCAAGATACGGATTAACCTCATCAAAATCGTTCACTCCAGCATTCCTTTTCTATTCGCAGGTTTCACTCTGTCCCCGATCTCCTCTCCCCTGCCACCACTCCACACTATGGAAGCGGTTCATACCTCCACATGGCGTCTCCGTTGCCGCCGAACTGCATCGACAATCGATGGGAGTCGCGCGCGAACCGGGAGAAGGCGCCCGATTCCCGCTCGTCACCGGAGGCCTCCTGGCGCTCTCCCGGGGGAGTCAGCTGCTCCAGGCTGGTGTTCTGGGGAAGCAGAGGGCGAGCTGGGGTCACGGAGGGCCACCAGAGGCCGGGCAGTGGTCACGGGGCCACAGGGACAGACCGGTTGTCTGAGGTCGGAGGATTGGTCACGTCAGACCAAAACGTTATCGGTGTAGGCGTCAAACGGATGGCCGGTGAGGTTCAAAGAGTATGGAAAAAGTAAACGGTGTCAGAAAGTCTAAGTAAATGAAGCGCCGTTTTTATCTTCATTTTCCCTCAAATTCATCGCAAAAAAAAAAAAACAGAAAAAATGTTCCAGTCATCCCGCCCTTTTCTCACGCCCGTCCCGACACGCCGCACTGCCAGTCAGGCCCCCCCCCCCCCCCGGCCGTCTCCACTACGCTCCCGGCCCCACCTTGATGGGCGTGGAGCTGGCCTGGATGTCATCATCGATGATGGGCGCCGCCGACCAGCGTTTGCTGGCGTCCGTGCGCAGGGGTGGCGGCGCGAGATGCGGCAGGGTGGCACACACCTGGTTCAGCGTGGGCTCGCTGCCGCGGCGCACCTGGACGGACAGGGGCGGACGGACGTGGAGAGACAGATTAGCGGACGGACGTTAGCAAATAGACAGAGTGACAGGCGACTACGTAGAAGTAACAGTGCGGCAACGTAGATACATGCCCGAGCTATGTGCACGCACGAGCACAGATGGCTGAGACAATGCAATGGCAGTAGCAGGCAGGCTTGATAAAAGCTTGAGAAAATGTAAGATTTTGTTGACAGCGAGACAATACTAAGCAAGAAAAGGAAAATACATTCAGATTCGAAGAATGCGTTGAAATAAGACAAGTTAGCGACAAAGTCGCTGGCTGCTGAAATTGCGGGTGTCTGGCGCCACATGAATCAGTAGTAGCCATCCCAGCGTTCACGGTCATCCCCTACTGAGAATACGACATTTGGGGGGAGGGGGCATACCTGCAGCAGACAGCTGGGCTCGTGCTCCCCAGTCACCTCCACATCGACACGCGAGAACGTCGGGTACGGCTGGTGTTCGCCGTTCTGAAACGAGCACAGCAGCAAGGGTCAGGGCAAGTACGGCTTGGTAAGGTAGGGCACGCTATGGCGCGATGTAAATACAAAAACAATGTCGGGCGACGCATACATGCATACTCGTTGGAAGAGCTGAAAGCGTTCACAACCACTCCGTGCTAGAGTACGGGATGTTGACAATATCAGTTTTATTGATCCTAGCCCTTGATCATACATGGCAATCATTCAAAGCAAACAGCGGCACGTTTACTGAAGCTGAGTCGGCACGCTGCATAATGTATTCATTCAGCACCATCGTTGCGCAGCAGCATTGCCACTGAAGGTCCGCCAGAGGCCGGCTAATTACTGGAGCCGTAGAAGGTAACACGAAACCAGTCCGCGCGCGGACGATAACTCAGCCGCGTCGTAAACGTCCCGCAACCAGTACAGGTATGTATGCCCACGGGATAATACAAGGAACGATTACTGTCGCAACATTTCGTCAGACTCAGAGTGGTGGTCATGTTCAATGAATGATACTCGACCGAGCAATGGGCTGATAGAACAAATAACATTGTAACGCTATGACATGACAATTAGCATGGAACATGATTTCAAGAAATGTGTCACCAGGTGAGTCGAGTGAATCGATCGCTAATCAGAAACGTATCCTACCTACCAAGCCCTTCCCAACCCCACGTTAATTCAGAACTACGACCAGCATCTCCCCAACGGGCCATATCCCAGCCTCTCGGTCCGACAGGGTCAACCTCAGACCAACAGAATCCTAGAGGGCAGGGGCGTCGCCACGGATTTTTGAGTGGGGGGGGGGGTCGGGTTTCCGGTCTTCGTCTTGATGGGTAGGGGTGTTTTTAGCCACACTCCCGGTTTTTTCGTGTGCCCGGAGAAAAACCTCGGCGCAGCGCCGCGAAAGCAGCGGTATATCTTATTGTACATCATTTTTGCATCGTGCATAAAAATCAAGCTGAGGTCACCTGAGGTCAGGTCACAATGTCATGTCAAGTTCAGTTTTAATGCCTCTTAGAACTGCAATCTTGTCATTCCTATAGATTATCTCCTGACTCCTATGAGTCTGAAATTTGGTGTAATGAATGGGATTATAAGTGCCAGCAGTTCATGAATCTGGGATTTTACATCTGAGAAGCGAAGTCAGGTCAAATAGGTATGTGACCTCACCAATCATGATAAGATATGGGAAAAAGCACGATGCCCTCTGCTTTGAAAGAATATGCTTAAAAACGCTAGATACTTTTGTAGCCATGACACCTTGTTCATTTTAGTGATAAGGTGCAGCTAATGACCAGTGGTGACTGAAATGGTCAGTCATTAGGTCATCAAAGGTCTCTAACACATTTTCGACAACAACTTTTGATGGAGACGTTGTAGAGCGATGACAGCACCTGGAGTGTGTTCAGCTCAGTAACACAGATCGATCCATTTCCATATGCAGCAGGTTCTTTTCCGGTCAGGTCATGACCTTTACCTGATGTCAAGTTTTCTATTCAAGTTTTTCAGTTCAAATTGTAAGCCATGCGACGTGTTTCGACGAAACAAAAACGATGGTGATAACATGAATACCAGTATAACGCCTTTTGGGGCGACTAACGGAGCGAGCGAGAGGGTGGGCCTTGCACGTGCGAAATTTCGAGGGGGTACCTCCAACTGACTTGTGCACGGCACTCTACTAACCGGTCTCTAGCGATGTGCCAAATTTGAGCACAATCGGCCTAGCCGTTCTCGAGATCTGAAAGCGGCACCCTGCACGTGCGCACGTGCAAAATGGGTCCCAACTGACTTGTGCACGGCACCCTACTAACTGGTCCCTAACCGTGTACCAAATTTGAGCGCCATCGGTCCAGCCGTTCTCGAGATCTGGAAACGACCCCTGCACGTGCGCACGTGCAGCAGCACCCCAACTCTGGCACATGGATATGCAGTGCCTAGTGGGTGCCTACCTACATGCCAACTTTCAGCGCAATCGGCCAAGTAGTTACCGAGATATTGCAACAATTACAAAACTGACACCTCTTCGTTTTGCACGTGGCACGTGCATAAGGGGTCACCCACATGCATCGGGAATAGTCCAATACTTGGTAGAAGGAATGAAGCTACCCTACAAAAATTACCGCGTGTAAATCGGTCAAGTGGTTGCTGAGATATAAGCCTCGCAAAAGCGTCCGCACGGCCGGCCGGCCGGCCGGCCGGCCGCTCATACATATGCGTGGTTCACACCGGATCCGTAATGACCGTTACGTGCCGTAATGAATACGTCGGCGATTAAATAATATCTTGAAAGTGGAGGGCACAATGCAATGCGCATGCGCAGTTCGATTTTTTGGCGACGTAACGCCGTATTCGTTACGGATTCGGTGTGCACCGGGAATTGCCATGTTGAGCGCCGTCCTTCGAATCAAGTGCGCCAAAACTATTTTGCTTATAAACAATCGAAAAATGGGCTAAAGCTAAGAGCTGTTTCTTAATATCGGTGCGTCATAATTTTAATTGGTTTTGCTCTCTTCTTTTTAAATTTATTCCTATCACTTTCGCATAGTGGTTTATAATTGTATGGAGGCATATCATTGTTAATTAACTACAATTGTGGGCATGATACTATACAGAGAATCTTTTATCCTTTTTTTGGCATAAACAAGAAAACATGCCTATGCTGGTCAACGCTGAAGTTCATTTTCTACACTCGTGAATCGCTGCTATCCATGGGCAAGATCAACGTACGGATCGTACAGTTTGCTCAATTGGCTTGCGAAGAGGCGGTGCAGTGTCCGTCCAAGCATCAAGTCTAGCAGGGGCAATATGGGCAGCGAAGTTGACTCAGAACTGCATAAAAGACGTGGCACGAGAATCTATGTATTGGAATTTATTTTGTGGACTTTGAACTTGACCTGAAACATACCTACATGATTAGGGCTAGGCTAGGCCTACGAAGGAAATGCTATCTTTAAATAAACGAGTGAAATGTAATTACGGAACATGAATTTTATGTACGTCACTCAAGAGACACAAAGTAGGTTGTGACATACTGAAGGCATACCTACATGAAATAATGCCTAAAAATCGGCGAGTTGATACGATTTTTTTTTCAAGTAGAAAGGTCCGCACTTGCACACGAGCAGACCGCTACCCGCTACCCAGACCAGCCCAATCAATCGCAACATGTGAGAAGGGGTGGGCACGTGCGCATGTGCCGACCAATACTCTCGCTGACCTTATCAATCTGCATACTTTATATGCGTGGTGTCATTCAGCATACCAAAGTCCAAATGTGAGCGCTATCGGCCCAGCCGATTCCGAGATATGAAAAAGGGGTGCGCACGTGCGCACGTGCCGATCAATACCTTTGCCGACTTGTGAATTCTACATATAAGCATGTCATCATTCAGCATACTTGATATAAGCACTTTCGGCCCAGCCGATCCCCAGATATGAAAAAGGGGTGCGCACGTGCGCACGTGCAGATCAATGCTTTTGCTGACCTGTGCAATCTGCAAATAAACTTGGTGTCATTCAGCATACTTAATATGAGCGCTATCTGTCCAGCCGATCCCAAGATGCCAAAAAGGGGTACGCTCGTGCGCACGTGCAGACCAATGCCTTTGCCGATCTGTTCAATCTTCATATGTACATGGTGTCATTCAGCACACCAAATATGAACGCGATCGGCCCAGCCGATCCCCAGATATGAAAAAGGGGCACGCACGTGCGCACGTGCTGATCAATGGTTTTGTCAACCTGTGCAATTTGCATATAAACATGATGTCATTCAGCATACCAAATATGGGCGCGGTTGGCACAGCCAATCCCGAGATGTGAAAAAGGGGTGCGCACGTGCGCACGCGCTGAGGCAATTCGAAATCGTCCTAAGGTCACGGGATGTGTAGTGTGCACCCAGCCAAAACAACAAACAAATATTGAACCGTTTCCATTCAGCCGTTCCCGAGTTATGGTATGACGAGCTCTTTTGGAACCTCTCTCGTCGCACGTGGCACGTGCTGTAACAGGCACTCATGAGTGATATCAATAGCACAGTTCAGGGTAGAAAGGATGCAGCCCCTCCCCAAAGAAGACCGCTCATCAAACAGTCAAACCGTTTTGGAGATACATGTCGATAAAAGTCATTACGGCGGCCGGTCGAGCCGAAAAGTTCAATTTTCCCAACTTCTGTTACGTTCCGTAACGAGTACGGTGGACGCTGCCAGTTTACGGCGACTGGTTGCCACATTTCAACTTCGTCTACAAAAGTCACAATGCTTGGGGAATCTTGAGAAATCTCTAGCTCATTACGTCCGTAACGGTTACGGCGTCATTACGGATCCGGTGTGAACCACGCAATACTCAGAAATTTCCGTTAATCTAAGGAAAGACTACGCTCGCTTCGCTCGCTCCGTAATCATGCACATTCACCGAATCATAGGTTGTTACAGAACAAATGTTTCGGCAAAATCCGTCAGTTTAGCTGTTTGGACTCTATGGTACACAAGCCATAGACCCGAAGTCATATCTGAGACGAAGTTGGCGAATGAGCTTTAAAAAGCTATCGAATACGCTTTCTGTGTTGCTGTAGCTCTTATTCGTATTTTGCGGGTCGCTAAGGTAAAACGTTTACCAACGTAACGCATAAGGCATGCCTTCGGCCCCTGATCGAGGTAGAGTTTCGCGGAAGAGCGGAAATGCTGCCCGTGATGAGAGAAAGCTGATGATGCCCAATTTCAAGGTCTTGGCCGGGTCATCTTAGGTCAACGCCCAAAAGTAGGAAAAATCTGGCCGCCTGCTAGAACTTATGGCCCTTTCACACGTAGCAACTTTTCAGTCGCCGGCGACAGCAGCAGTCGCCGGCGACCGCCAGCGACCGCCAGCCAACGATCGTGTGTGACGTAGGTATGACGTAAGCAAGTCGGTGGCGATCGCCGGGCCACGGCCGGGCTGTGGGCCGGGCAATCGCCAGCAACTGGTGACGTCAGATCCGCGTCACAGGCCAGTCGCCGGCGACTCTT